TGCCCCACCTCGCCCCACCCCCACCAATTTCTTACAACTCCCCTGATTTCTTCTATACTCCCCATTTTCCCCATTGAGACCCATCGCCCCCTCCCTCTAGTTTTGTCTACCCCACTCTCACAAAACCCCAACCCCCATACCTATTCCCCTTCTCCCCGACCTATGCCCCTCTAGCCCATTTTCCCCATCGCAACCCACCCTGCACAGAGAGAGAGAGAGAGAGAGAGAGAGAGTTCAATTTTTTAAAGTTTTAAATTTAATGTTTATTAATTTTTAATCCATGCTGGAGATGGGCTCCACTTTGTCACATTACCCACACAAATTAGTGAGTAAAAAACATAGGTGCACAAAATTACAAAATTACAAAAAAAAAAAAAAACCTACCACGTCATCAAACTTAACGAACTTTTGGATGAAGTTAACGGAAGGGGAAATGTGAAACATCAAACCTTGGTCAAGGGGGAAAGTGGGTCACTTTAACTTTAAGGGGGTAAAGTGAGAATTGACTAATGTTTTAGGGTGCACTGTAGCAATTAAGCCTTTATTTTATTTAGTCAAGCTTCCGATGTGAGACTTATATTCTTCAACAATTTTCTCCTGAAGGTAAGGCTTGAGATCGCAAAACGGACGACAAAGGGGGCATGAGCAAAGCCACCTCCACAGTGACCACCGACCCCCACGAAGCAGCTTGCACCATGATCGTTGTTGACTTGGAGACTGTTAGCACAATAACAGGAGCAGAACCACCAAAACCACCATACCAAGTAGAGGTGGGCATTAATTCAGCTGATCCGACCAAACTGGCCGAATCAATCTGTATTTTTCTGTTTGGTTCGATTTTGACTTTAAAAAAGTCAACCGTTTTAAAATCCGAACCAAACCGGAGTGGATTGGTTCAGCTGCAGTTTTAAGCTTTGAAAAACTGTGCTAATCTGAACTGAACCATTTAAATATATATATAAATTTACATGTGTCAATAGTTGAGTGGCTAATTAGAAGTGTTAGTGTACACCCAACTGCATTGAATTGGACTCAAAACCACTTATTTTCGGACTCCAACCTCACTCACATATCATCTTATCTCGGAGGCTCCTCTTTCTTGAACACGCAGCTTGACTCAACCCATTGGAATCCTAGAGAAGCCACCATTGATTTGAACCACTACAACCTTCACTACTTCAATCAAATCCATTCTCACATCGCAGAAATGTCGTCGGCGTTGCAGAAACCTCTTTCGCGTCGCACCCTCAGCGTTTGCGTCACAGAAACCTTGTCGGCATCGCACATCCATCGTTGCAGACAAATTGCACCTTCATTCATTGATTCAAATGTGCTCACAAATATGATTCGAACCCACTTCAACCTCCATCCACCTTCGGCGTCACATATTTGATTTGAACCCACTTCAACCTCCATTGATTCAAACGTGCTCCTCTCAGTGCCAACGATGGATGAAGCTAACTCAGTGCCAACGATGGTGAGTTCTTCTAATTTATTTAATGTTCAATTTGTCTGATTATATAGATGGAGGTAAACCAGGGGGTAGAAGAAGGTTTTGCTTCTAATTAGCCACCACCCATGACTGAATATGCACCCACGGTTGTGACCTCTCAAGCTTAGACTGGTGCATCTAATCAACTTCTACTGTCACCTTCCCAAAAAAAGAGAAAACCAGCTAGGAAACCAAGTGAGGTGTGGAATCACTTAGAACAATATCAAATTGGTAATCCTTTTGAACCTATTAGGGTTAGATGCAAGTACAAAACTGCTTACTATAATATGATCCAGCAACTTGTGGGACATCAAGTTTCAGAACTCATATTACTAATTTATGCACACAAAAATACCCATATAGGGTGCCTGGTTCAAACCAAAAGGTCCTAACTTTTGCCAAGGACCAATATGGAGGTATTACCGCTCTTGGGGCAACGGGATTTAATAAGGAAGAATTTAGGAAAGCATGTCTTAGGATGGTTGTTATTGATGAGTTGCCATTTAGTTTCATAGATGGAGAAGGGTTTCATCACTTTTGTAGTGTTGCATGCCCTAGGTTTATACCGCCATCTCGTAGAACACTTGTTAGAGATTTGCTTACACTTTACTATGATGAAAAGCAACTTTTGAAAGCAAAGTTAGCTGCATATAGAGTCTACCTTACTACTGACACATAGACTTCTATCCAAAATATAAACTATATGGTTCTCACTACACATTTCCTAGATGGTGATTGGATGTTGGATATGCGTGTGTTGAATTTCTGTGTAATTCAAAATCACAAGGGTAGGACAATTGGCAGACTTATTGAGAAGTGTTTGATTGATTAGGGTATAGAGAGGGTACTCACAATTACCCTAGATAATGCATTTGCAAATGATAAAGTTGTATCTTATTTGCAAAGTGAGATGAAGGATTGGCCAAATGGAGATTTGTTGTTAAATGACGTCCACTTACATATGAGATGTTGTGCTCATATTGTAAATCTCATTGTAACCAATGGTTTGAAAGAGTTACATAATTCTGTTAAGAGTATTCGTGATGCTGTCATGTATATAATATCTTCCCCCAAAAGATTAGAAACTTTTAAATCTTGCATTGAAAAAGATAAGATTGATTGTAAAGGCTTAGTTGTCTTGGATGTGCCAACTAGGTAGAATTCCACCTACATTATGCTAGAAGCTGCTTTGAAATTTAAAAAGGCTTTTTTTAGGTTGGAAGATGAGGATGGACATTTTAAAAGCTACTTTGGTAGAGGGAATACACCACCAGTTGAGGAGGATTGGGCAAATGCTATTGTCTTTGTCAAGTTTTTAAAAAGTTTTTATGACTTCACTTTGAGGTGTAGTGCCACTTTGCATGCCACAGCCCATACTACTTTTCATGACTTATTTGCAATTGATTGTGAATTGGCAGAATTAAGTGTAGTAGGCAATCCTCTTCTATCTAACATGGCTCAAAATATGAAATTGAAATATGATAAGTATTGGGGATTACTTGATAGTGTGAACCAATTCTTGTTGATAGTTCTTGATCTTAGGTATAAATTGGACAATTTATCAATGCATATTTCTGATTTGTATGTGCAAGATGATGATTATGTTGCCGAGAAGACAGTTGGCGTGAGAGATCTTTTGTTTAAACTTTATGGGTTGTACGAGGCAGGTTTCGTTAGTAATCCAACTCAAAGTTGTAGTAGTTCTACTACATCTTCAAGTATTGGCAACAACATAGTGATTGATAGTTCTAACTCCTCAAGCTTTGGAGGTGATAGGAAAAAGGCTATGAAGGAAAAGTGGAAAAAAGAGACAAGAAGATAAAGAGGCAATGGTTCTATCTTATGAGATAGATAGATATTTGTTGAATGCTGCAAAACAAGATATTAAATAGTTTGATATTTGAAATTGGTAGAGGGTGAATGCTTCTAAATATCCAGTTTTGGTAGCCATTGCAAGATATGTGCTTGCAATTCCAGTCTCTACAGTTGCCTCAGAATCTACTTTTAGCAAGGGAGAGAGAACAATTAACTCATTTCGCAGTTCCTTGAGTCCAGCTATGGTTGAGGCTTTAATTTGTACACAAAATTGGTTGAAGTCCACTTCAATATCTTTAAAAGTTGAGCCCACCATTGAGGAGGTGGAGTTTTATGAAACGATTGAGTCTAGTATATCTATTTTTCTCGATTAATTGCTTATAACGTGTGAGTTTTATTGTGCTAAAGCTAAATATATGATTATGTGTATTTCTTATATAGAAATGTGGATATCAAATGCTAATGCACTTGTGCACATTTTCACTGATTGATTCTCTATTAATGCCCAACCTTGCAATTATGGTAATTTTCTTATTCATTCTTATTTTGATCATCTTGTATCCTAAAATTTGTGTTGATTGAAACTGCTTTTATGTGCAAAATGGGGACATGCTAAAAACTGGGCAGCCTTTGATTAAATGGAAATTATGAACTTGTATTTTGGGCAACCTTTCATTTCTTAGTTTGATCATCATGTATTAATTTCTTATGAACTTTAGAATGTTTGTTTTTATGGAAATTGTGAACTTAGATGCATGCTGAAAACTGGATAAACTTTGATTAAATGGAATGTTGTTGTGTTAGCCTTTGATGGAATGATATAATGGCAAAATGTTAGCATTATAAAGTAAGAGCAGGTTGAAAATGCATGGTTTTGTGTTAGGCACAAACTGGCCGAACCAATCCTAACCAAACCGATTACAAGTGGTTTGGATTGGTTTGATTTTCATTATGGTTTTAGGCTAATCCGAACTAAACCAGACGGTTATTTTCTTATTGGCTCAACTGTGGTTTGAGAATAAAATCGAACCAGATCGGACTGTGCGCACCACTAATGCCAAGGCAACCACCATTGACGCTGATGCACCGAGGAGAAAGAGAACGACGAAACCAACGCCCAGGATCTGAGAGAGACAACAAGGAGACCAGCACCCCAGAGTCGAAGAGAGGAGTGATGGCATCGACTCGATGTGGAAGAAAAACGGCAACGACTCAACCTGGAAGAAAAGTGACTCGACGTTGTCAAGGCAAGGAGGGCGATGATGGCGGCTGAACGTAACATGGATGAAAACGAGCGTGGTTAGGCCGAGGAAGGGATGACGGCTAAACGTGAAAAACCTAAACCCTAATATTTGACGTACGGCTCTCCTCGTGTAACGAGAGAGCGACCAAGTGACCAATTCTTTCTTATGTGTTTTTCGATGTGGGTCTTTATATTCTTCAACAAATACTAGGCTTAAATCCAATGGCAGAACCATAAATTTATTTAGGGCATGGCTAATTTTTTTTTCTTGGCTTCTTCTATAATATAATATATAATAGTTCAAATTGTCTAGATTTTTTTTTGGTAGGGGGCTAAAGTTTGAAAACAACATAACTAAACGCGAACGAGGCCTATAAACTAATTAAATTTAGAAATTATTTTTCCAAACATTAACACAAATAAGTACAACCAGACAAAAAAAAACATAAATCAGTAGAACTAAAAATTGGAGCCAATGTTCATTAAAAAAAAAATGGAGCCAATTATTTAGCAAACAAACAACAAATGAGTAAAGATTAAAAAAAAAAAAAAACTTGAGAAATAAAGGTGAGGTAACACCTTAGTGTAAGTTGACTAACGATTTAAGAGCTTGGTACTATTGATTTAATGATGTTCTAATATAGAATTGAAATTGAAAAAAACCTAAAACTGCACTAGAATTGGTTTAAATTGGACTGGCCGGTTTCAAAAAAAAATTTCACCAAAATTGAACCGAACTACACCGATTGAATAGTACCAGTTTCAATTCCAATGTGAGGTGGAAACCAGATCGGATCTCGCCCACCCCTACTATGTGTGGGTGTGGCTATGAGGTAGTGGGCTAATATTTAATTGTACTGCTTTTTTATTTATTTATTTATTTATACATTAAGAGTAGAACTCATCACCAAGCTAAAGCCCAATACAATCACCCGGTGTGAGCGGGGATTAGTCTGGATTGTGGTTAAGGCTTAAAGGTGCCACCCATAGTTGGGGCCCATCCAGGACCACCTCGTGGTTCAGACAAAAAAAAAAGAAAAAAAGAAGCCCAATACAATCCCTTGGTAGTTCCGCCCTTGCTTGAATCTCTATTGCAGATAGACCCGTCTTTTCTCTGACAAAGCAAAACTATATCTATCTAGGAGGTTTTTGGTTTTTAATGTTCCCCTAAAAACAAAAACAAAAACTCTGTTTGCACTTGGAAGCAAGAGAACATATCCGTTTTTTCTTTTTAGAAAACTTATACTTGAATTATGCTCAGATGCTCACACCAAATTGCATATTTTCTAATGCCACGTCCATTTTCTCAGCTTTGATAATGCCACCCCAAGAAAAAGAATTTATTGAATAGGAATTCTATAATAAGGGTTTTGGAATCAGTTGAGTTGACTTACTTACTTTGCGTGGGGTGCAAGTGGATTTGGATGAATATATATAGCGCACAGTTCATATCCTCATATCAGCATCTGCATACTAAGTCAGACTTCTAAAATTCCCAGTCAAATTGTCTCATTCATTTGCAGTACCTGAATATCTGGTCTGCACATTAAAGGTAACAACCAAATTGTTTCATATCCTTTTCTTTCTTCCTTTTTGGAAGCACATAGTCTTCTATAAATATTTTGCAAAAACCCACAATTTTTTTGCATCCCATTAGTGTATAATGTGTTTCAGTTATACCTTTTGTATGAACATCAGGCAAAGCTAGCCAACACTACATGGAGGAATTGGAAGCTAATTCTACACAAATGGCTCCGGTACTTGAAAGCGCAGGAGACAACAATCGGTTGCAAGAAGTTTCCGGGCTTATAAAGGATGCTGCTGATGAAGAGCTAAATTTGAAAGCCAGAATTGAAGAGGCTGAGAAGCTGCTTGCAAAGACCAGGCAAGATAAACTTGAGCTGACTGAGGGCATAGCGCAAAGGGTGGTATGTTAAAATGGTCTGCAATCTGCATGAATATATGTGACTGCATTTCCTAATTCTTAGCTGCTGTGCTAGTCTCAACTTCAATTATCAAACAAACATGATCATGAATGAAAATTGCCACATCTTTATGAAAAACTATGTCAACAGTGTGATCGGAACTCTACCCTTCTTCCTCGGTTGGAGTTCAATACCACCTAAGACAAATCCACCAACTTAAATGGCGAAGGGAGAGTTTGGCAGTTTTATTGCTAAGGCAATGGGATGAACTTATTGCTGATGCCAAAGCTGCTGCCAAGGGAAAGATTTGGGATTTTTTGGGTTCAAAAAAGTCCTTACTGGAACAAATCAAAGTAACACACAAAATTCTAACTCATCAGTTAGTAGGGGAGTTTGAATTGTTTTCTTTACCTTGCTGATTATTTGCTGTTATAAATATTTGCAGAAAACTGGTAAGGAGATAGATGGATTAACTGAATTACTATTGGCTGTGCGGCAAAAAATTAAGCAAGCTGAGAAAGAACTGAAGGTCATTGAGAAAGATATAGAGTCCTTGCAGCAAAAACTACAATCGATGGATCAGAGGAAAGGTGAAGCACACCACCAATGCATTCTCAAACAGAGAAAACAACTTTTTGACCAAAAAGAAAAAAACAGAGAAAACATACTGAGTGATGAGACATGATGAGTTTATTTGGTGTGTTAAACGTTAATGAGAACAAGACTTTGCCACTTGGTAGTTGACAAGTCCTTATCTCAAGACGAGGAACTCCACCCACCAAATACCAAACTACAATGTGATCGTAAGGGATTCGATTCGACTTCTACGTTTAGAGATTATGCTCTAAATGCATTTAATGTAATTTTGCAATGTAAAATTATTCTAAAGGTATTTAAAATTATGTTTTTTTCTCTTATCAACAAAAAGGGAGATTCGAAGATGAGGAACCTCGCACTTCTTTTTATTCACCCCATATTCTAAGTTCACTCCAACTTCTAATTAAAATTTTCACAATTTCTAAGAAAACCCCAATATCTTCCTGAATTACTCCTAAATACACACCCATTAAAAAAAATAATAATAAAGAAAAAAAAAATCATCAACCTCACACCCGACACCCCGCTATATTGCCCCTTACCACTCTAAGTTCTCGTCAACCTCACATTACTTAAAGTGATAAAAACATTGTTGTCAAATGTGTTTGTGAAGAGAAGTTGAATGAACTTTTTTATCTTTTTACATAATAATAAAATTTAAGAGCTTATTAATTTAAGTATTAGGATGAACAAAGAAAAGTGTGGGGTTTAAATAGAAAATGATGACATACATACTGTGTATCATTAAAACAAAATATGAGTGAAATAAAGGTTTTTTTCCATCATGCTTCAAACGACATGTAGCTTTAGTATGGTATTTAGTACTGAAATCAAGATCTCCGCGCGCATATGTAATTAATTCTTTACGCCTTGGCGTTTGCCAGAGCTGTTTTGCTGTTATGTCCCAAAAGTAAATATCTTTTTTAATGTCAGCGCACCCAAACCAACAGAGTAACGTGAGGCCGCGAGCAACAAACCCCAAGCACGCAGAAAGCAACAGCCTTTTTTGTTCCCCAATAATCAAGATTTCAACTTTTTTGTTTTTTGTTTGAAAATTTTTAATTTTTGAGAGAGAGGGATCATGTGGGAGTCGATCTTTCTAACGCTGGCGGCGACGGCCGGAAACAATATCGGAAAAATTCTTCAGAAGAAGGGCACCGTCATTCTTCCTCCTCTCTCTTTCAAGCTCAAGGTACTCCTCTTTTTACCCTTTTGCCCTTTCTGCATTTCTGTTATTACTTTAATTCATTTTCGTCTTTGATTCTTCGATTGTTATTCAAATCCCAATTATCAGACACAGATACACAGACTCTGTGTTTTGAATTTATGGAATTGAATTGGGTCCAATTCCAGGGCTTTTGTTTAATTTCCTTGTAACCCAATTTCTGGGTTGCATGATAAGGCATTGAACGAATTACTAATGGCGTGGGCTCATGCGTGTGTGTTTGTAGGTGATCAGGGCGTATGCTTTGAACAGAGCTTGGTTGATAGGTTTTCTGATGGATATATTTGGAGCCTTGCTCATGTTGAGAGCATTATCTCTTGCTCCTGTAAGTGCCTCAACTCCAAGCTCCTTTTTTTTTTAATTTTAAATTTTGTTCCTCACATTTTCATTTTCATTAACATTCAATTTGTTTACCCGTTTGTTCTTTCAATTTTTTGGGACTAATTTTGACATTTACAGTTTGTGCTAAAGTAATTTCAATTGGTGATTAAATTTGATGTTGGGCCATTATATGCCTTTTCCCAGGTTTCTGTCATACAACCCGTTTCTGGGTGTGGACTTGCCATTCTTTCAATCTTTTCCCATTTTTATCTGAAGGAAATTATGAATGCTGTTGACTGGATGGGGATTACCTTAGCAGGCATTGGCACTATAGGTAATGTAAGTTCTTCAAAATACATGAAAGTTAAATCGCCCTCACAGAGAATTGATCGTGTATTTTTCTATTTTAGTGTTTATAATTTGAGCGAGATTCTGTATTTGCAGGAGTTGGTGCCGGAGGTGAGGAGCAAAAGGCTTCTGCTATATCTATTTTCCATCTACCATGGTTGGCAATTGTAGTCGCCATCTTGTTTGTAGGTACCTTATACTATGCATCATTTGATGTTTAAGCACAACTATGAGTGTTGTTCCCAGACTGTTCATGTTACTAGAAACCAGCATTGCTAGATTTTATATTGTTAGTCAAGGGAATGTGTCTATATAATGCTTATGATAATCCAGATATAGTTGGATACTTGTATTTATGCACTCCTTTGAATAGGTACTACTGAATGGATGGCTACGCATCTACAGACGTCAACGCAAAGAACAGGAGTTGGTAAATTGATTTATGCTTTTGATATATCTATAGTGTTTGAGTATGGTGCCCTCCACCCATTCACATCTGCTTGTGGTACAGATGGAATATGATGTTGTTGAAGAAATTATATACGGCTTGGAATCTGGCATTTTGTTTGGGTATGATTCGCTCTAGTATAAGTTAATTTACTCCTTAACAGATAGGTTCATCTCTCTCATCTTTCAGTTTTAGGATGAAAATTATTACAAATTGTGTGTGTCTGTATGTGCGCGTGTGCATGTGCACGAGGTTGAGTTTTAATAGTTGCCCGTGTCAACACTGACAGGGTAACATTGCGTTGTATTTGGCAGATTGTACGAGTTAGAGATGTGCATGATAATACAAGTCAATAATGTGTTTAGCATATCAATTCAGTGATGTGTACTTTATGTTACAGTAGGCAAAAGGCATCATACTTTCACATTCTATTAATTAATTCTGTTCTTGTCTGAAACAGTTACTTTATTTTTGGAGAAGAATCTGAAGCAAATACTTTCTTTATGTTTACATGCCTTTTTTCATCTGAAAAATTAATTTCATTGTGTAGAGAGCAGAGGACCTTTTATTAGTAAAATCATGTAGCTGCTGCTGCTGTCAAATCATACTTAAAATGATATGTGCACATCTTAATGCAGGATGGCATCTGTAATATCAAAGATGGGATTCGTATTCCTGGAGCAAGGTTTCCCCAGCATGCTGGTTCCTATATGCCTGATATTCAGCATATGTTGTAGTGGTACAGGGTTTTTTTACCAGGTATGTTAAACGTTTGACTAAGTTCAGAGTTTCATATCCACATGTTCATGTAAATTGAATGTCGGCGACTTGAAATGCATTTATAGTTTAGTTGGTTATTGTTGTTGGTAGTGAGATATTCCTTTTGAACAGACTTGGGGGTTAAAGCATGGGAGGGCAATTGTGGTGTCTACGTGTGCTGCTGTGGCATCAATTGTGACTGGCGTGCTTGCTGGAATGCTTGCTTTGGGTGAAAGATTGCCTTCAGCGCCAACCGCTCGTCTTTCACTTGTGCTTGGATGGTAAATTAAGATACTGACTTATATTTTACGGATCATTTTTAATAAAAGAAAGCTCTCTAAATCTTAGTTTTGGACCTGAGGATGTCCTTAAATCAAATAGTTTTAAGGTATGGTGTATGTGCCATGATTCATCAGCTATCATTCTTCATTTAGGAAACCTGACTAGCACTTTCTTTAGATTTCTGTTTTCATTTTGATGTCGTGAGGTCAAAGTGGTCCAAACTTATTGGATGTCATGGGGTAGCAAGTATGCGGTCCAAAGTTACCATTTGATATTGTTCTTCTCTTGGCATGCATCCATATTTCGTAGAGTTCATATAGCTGTCCTTATTCTCAATTTACAACAATTATTTCCAGTGTTTGAAGTGCTTAATTGATAACAAGTCTTTTCTTGCGATAAAACATTTACATTTTTTTTTCTGTACTGCAGGCTATTTATAATTATTGGCGTGATTTTACTTGTGAGCTCGACACGGCTGGTGCGAAACCTTCCTCGGCCTTTACGGCATTTTATCCAGAGTGGTGTTGATAAGAACTTCAGCCAGAGAAAATCCGGGTCTATCCGCACTAGGGATTCGAGCCCTAGCACTGTTATTCAGGCAGCAACTCTGCATCATTTGATACCAACTTCGTCTAAAGAAAAGGCTTGATTTGATTAAATCAGGGAGATTGTTGTATAAGCACAAAATTTCTCATATCGGCAGACTTGCAAGTAACGGGAAGCAACTCCTGGTGGTTTAGGCAAATCTGGTGTATAGTAGAGTATGCTTACAGACTTCATCAGAGGGCATGAAGTTTTTGAAATCATTCCTTTTAGGGAAAATTTGTACTCTAGTATTTTGTGAACATTTTGATGTCCAACTTTTTTCTCGATTTAGTATTCTTATATCTCATTGCTTCTTGCGTACTGTTCGTTCTCCTGAAAACCGTGCACCTCTCTTGGACATGATTTTCTGTTCTTTTAATGTCGATAACGTTATAATTGATTCAAATAAAGTTACAACTAAAGAAGTCAGCAATCTTTTAGTGTCAATAACGTTATAATTGATTCGAATAAAGTTACAAGTAAAGAAGTCAGCAAGAGCAGTGAATCGATCCCATTGCACCAAAGTTTGAATATCTCTCTCCGCAATTTAGAATAATTTATACCATTGCTTGTATAATTGTATTTAAAAATAAGAAAAAGTGGGCAAGGGTCAGAAATAAATTGACGAACATATGACCACAACAGAAGGGACAATAATGCCAAAAATAAGACACGAGAATGGTTACAGAGAAAAAGCTATGGAGGGACCCCTCTTGGCTAGGACCCAGGTGAATAGTTAATTACCTCTGCATTCACGTCATGGGACGACCTCTAGTCACCCACTCCACTCCAAGCAACAAACAGCCATTTTTGGCTTAGCCTCTTGTTCATGACATAACTACACCTCTCCACGCTTGAGGTCCACCATGACTTGGATTGGATTGAGCAACCTCTGGTGATAAGATCCATTATGCAAAACCCTAATCACAGCCATGATGGGGCACATTGTGCTTTGTTAGGGCACAAGTGTCTTGTCACCCACCTTTTGTAGCTGTCCAGTTTTCCTATTTGTAGGAAAGTTAATCACAGAGAAGATGTTTCCATAGTAATATGCATGTGGCTTGTTTGGTACTTCCATATATGCATATCAATATGCATATATGGCAAATATGAACTGGGTTTTTCTATCTAAAAAGTGACAAATATGAACTGGGTTTTTCTAAAGTGGCAGATCAATATGCTTCCCAAGATTTTAGATAAGCTGGTTTGCAACTACTCTGTTTTTTCTCTCTAAAGGCAAGTTCACTCCTTTCCCTTTGAGTTCTTCAGTCTTCAACAAAAGAAAAAAGGAAAAGAAAGATGAAATTTAACAAACACTAGAATCCAGAATGATTCTATTCCATGTACCCAAACACAACAAGGGGAGGAAGGCGGAGAAAGAGAGGAGGGGGCCCGGATTGGATAACCTTTCTCCCAAAAGAAGTCGATACTTCAGTCTTCATGTAATGACTTGTAGACCAAATAAGTAAACACTGTCAAGAACATCTTTGTGGGTCCTAGCAGAAACCAATAACTTTAGGACAAAACCAATTATTCTCAACTCAACCATCTTGTCATAAGGAGCACTTAATTCCACTTTGTCAATGTCATAATTCATGTGCTTTGTGACCAAAATTAGGAATCACAATCACCAAGTTACCTCAAAATGCAGAAACAGCAAGGATAGGTTTAATAAAGATATTGATATGAACTTAGTTGATCACATATGTTTCAACCTCCATGCTAATTTCACAAGCAGTTTTGTTTTTTTTTAAAAAAATTCCCCAAATGGAACATGACGCATCTTCTCTGAAGCATTCTTGGGCACATTGCTCCTGATGGTACAATGTGCAAGCTTCAGAACAAAAGTTCTGGGATGCCTAAGCTCAAAAGCTTCCCCAACATATAAAGTTGTATACGGTCATCTACCTAATCCAATGAAGCCTCTGTATCGTAGGACCATCTCCCCTGGCACTGCACCAGAAAATTCTGTACTATTAAAACTGTAAATAAAATCTTTCCATTTCTGTGTACGCCCTTGAACTAGTGGTAACAACTAAATATGACCATGGAATAGTGTTTCAATCGACCTCAAACCAAAGTATGCCATGAAAAGATCTGAAATTAAATTAAAGGAAGGACAAAGTACATAAGAATGGAAAGGTCCATGGTCCCATATAAATAGATTCTTCCACACATCTAAAGTGTTAATGAATCACATTAGGAATCAATTTAGGTGAAAGACCTATCACCAATAACAGCTTCACCTTGCGTTTTCTTGGCTTGAGAGTAATCAAGTTGCTCCATTTGCCAGCTTTCATGAGAAGCAACATGTTCATGGGAAGGAGTGTATTGCTGCCAAAGTACACATTGTGGATTTATTAAAGCTTTTTTTTTGTTTCCATATCAAGAAACATTTCTTCTGTTTAAAAACAAGCAAGCCCATTCACAACAGGAGGAAAAGAATAGGCAAGGTTATTAGTATACCTCCATCTTCACCACAAGTTCCTTGGCTGTTGGAGCAGAGACAACTATATGCCGAGCACATGGCTTGATGAAACCTTCTTCAACACCATTGTCAAATAGTGCCAGCAAGGAATTATAGTACCCATCAACATTAAGCAAACCAACCTACATGGAGTAATATGAAGTTACAAACTGAATTGGTAGGAAGCTGAGCTGATCATATATTTCCAAAATTGAGAATTGGTACGCTACCGGCTTCATATGAATCCCAAGTTGGGCCCATGTTATTATCTCCAACAGCTCTTCCATAGTTCCATATCCTCCTAAAACCAAAAATAATATTGTACTAAGCACAAGCAACTCACTTACTTAAGAATTGCAACCCCAAGTTACAATGTATTTAGGGTACTGCCTTGTAATTTATAAAAAAAAAAATTAAGGGGATTTTGCCATGTAATTACCAGGAAGAGCAATAAAGGCATCAGCTTCTTGAGCCATAGAAGCCTTACGCTCATGCATGTCTGTCACTGTTCTTACTTCTCCAACAGTTGGACCAGATATCTGTCAAAGTTATCCATTAAAAAAAGATCACTAAAACTGAGAAAAACAATGAGCAAATTTCTTTCCTGTATCCACTAAGAATGAGCACTATGATCCATTTAAACTGTGAAAACATCACATCAAGCATTTTAAGAAATTTTGTTCTTACTGGTTCTGCTTCATAAGAGTATTTTTAAGATGAAAAAAAAAAAATCCGGGTAGTCAAAAATAAAACAGCATAAATCAATCAAGAGCAGTTCAATTTAAGAATCGACTGTAGAAGGCTAGGAGGAGGAGATGAGTATATGGATAAATAGAGAAACCTCAAGAGGCATGAGAGCTTTTGGAATGACCCTGCATGTAAAAAACAGGTAAGAATTTATTAAGTGACAGTATTGTGATCAACAAACACCTTGCTTGAAGCTTGAATGAATAGAACACGATTATGAATTAAAAGACTAAATAATATTATAATTCAGAACACATAAGGTTTCAACTTTCATTTATACCCAAGAACATGGCAACCTCCATCGTACACTGTCTGGGATATTAAACCCATCAACCCGACACTTCCCCCACCATACACCAAATCTATCTTCCTCTTGACCTGTAACATTCACCAACAAAGTAGAAGACAAGTCATTTACAGATCATTTTTTAAGGGAAAATTAAGCATAGAAGACAAAATCGTATGTTCAATGTATTAGAGACTGATTTCAACGTATCAGTCTGTGTAAAGTCGTATACTTTTAGTGTTCCTGAGCACAAATTAGCCCAAGATAATTCCAATGGCCTATTACCAAACAAAGCAAACACAACCTAAGAAAGATTTAAGAGTGTAAGAAAAGAAACAAACCAGTTCATTGCCCAACTCAAGAGCAGCATCACCGAATACTTTTCTGCGGCCAGAGTTGCTTCCACAGAACACACAAATCCTGTTGAACTTGCTCCTTGCGTTGCTCTCTTCCATTCACAATTGCTACTTTTTTATATATATTATTTCCTAGTCAATCCCAAAGCATTTGAGAAAAAGAACTGAACCAAAGCAAACCAAACACAGATGGTAAATTGTTACTTTAACAGCTAAAGCCCAAAACTTTTTGCAAAATCAATAGAAAAAGAGAGAGAAAGAGAGACTTTACGAGATGGGTTCTTTAAAAAGACAATTGGGTTGATTCTAAATTGGTATAAATCAATCAAATTCGAGAACTTGATGGATTTTATATATCCGGTGAGTGAAGCAAGGGAAGCCCACATGCTCCATTACCTTTCTAACCCGACGTCTGTTTGTCGGCTCTGTGGAAATATGGGAATAAAGAATAGTGAAACTTTAATTAAAGTAATAAAAATGAAATAATCTCTTTGTTTCTCTCTCAAATCAAACAAAATAATCGTATTTTATTCATGGAAATTGAGAGAAGACAGATTTGTATAGACTCAACACACAGCTGGGATTGCTATACTTCCACTGTTAGACTTTGACTTATGTATATAGTAATATTTTTGTTTATGGTAAGTTAATCATTTTGAAAAAATTAAATTATATAAGAACACTTGAACGTTTCCTTATAGGAGAACAATTTTGACAATCTGCTGTTTTGTGTTTCTTGTTTACCAATATTTTGTAACGACGTGACTAAACATGTAGATTAGTTTATGTATGCATTTCCGCAGTCCATAGGCCATTGGATTGGATATCTCTTATTCCGTTTGAATTTTGGGCCATACTAAAATCGGGTTTTCGTAAGGAACTAATTTTGGGCCATTTTTTGTTTCCACTAGTGACTGAAAGCCTTTTTCTTTTCTTCCACTAATGAATTTGATTAGGAACTTCGACAGCCTTTTTCTTTTCTTTCATTTTCCAACGTACATAATTTAAAGTTATTTCTCTCTTCGCACGTTCTTTTAAATTATCTTTAAAATATCGGATATATTGGAAACAAATTCAAAGCTTCCATGGAAATTTGTTGTCACACACACCTCAAAATTGTCTCCCTAATTGTATTTGAGGGATGATATATAGGTTGAGATGGAGGTTGCAAAGTATTTGTTAAAGAAAAGTTTTGTTGTGGATAAGATGACAAATTGACAATTCACAGAGGCTCAGCTGCATACAAGAGAGGTGGAAATTTGGATGTTTTGCATAGAGTTTGTCTTTGCTATCTATGTATTTTTAGGATTAGAAGTGGAACAACCTTAACCAACCGAACCTAAACTAGGAAGACTTACAGCTGTTTCTTTCCTCTCAATTCCTAAACTCAAGCATTCTGTTTCGCATCTTCCAAATGACTTCTGTTTCCCAACTCCATTTTTTTGTTTTTGGGAAGGAAACATCAAAGTAAACAACATTGCGGAACAAGGAACCCCTTTTGAATTCGAACCTCAAAGTTCAAAACCAAAGGGGGCCCCTAGAAAAGAAGAAGAAGAAGAAAAAGAGACCAACAAAACCATGTAAAGAATTTGTCATTTGCAGATTTCAATCTGTTTCCCAATTTTGTTTTTGATGTTTGAGTCCTCATGGGAAGAAGAATTCCCGCGGATGAGACAAACCTGCTAATTCATCCGTTGCTTTCGATATCATTTTTTGCTGCTGGTATGGCTGCCACCATTGCCATGATCACAGCTCTTTGTAGCTTTAGAAGAAAACGATCACCGCCTCCTTCTCAATCCCCTGCTTCCAACATAACAACGGAAACAGATGCAGAACCAGCAACAATGGCAGCCGCGGGGACAACGACAACAACACCTCAGCAAGATTCAGAAACAGATCAAGAAAACGAGGATGGAAGAGAGAGTAAAGAACTGCCTTTGCCTCCACGGATGAGGCACTCAGGACAGATTGATCCTACCATTAACAACAAGACACATATGAAAAAGTCTGCTTCTGAGAGAAGACTGTTGTCGAATTTAAGCATGAAATTGCCAAGAAGCTTGTCAATGGCAAGGAAAGATAAGGTGAAGGAGGAGTATAACAAACGAAAGAACGCCAAGTTGAAGCCGGAAGAGTCCATCTGGATGAAGACGATCATATTAGGTGAGAAATGTAAAGTGCCAGATGAGGATGAAGTTGTGATTTATGATGCTAAGGGAAGAAGGATCCCAGCATATCACCCCAAAAGTAGGCAATCTTCTTTCATTGATCCAAGCGCAATACCGGACCAAAGAATGAGAAAAGTAGAGATAGAAAACAAAATTAATCAAGAGAGAGATCACAAACAAGAAAACAAAAATGAAGAAAGTGATCAAGAATGATAATAATGTTAATGTCTTCACCTTCAGGGTCATCATGTACATTATTCATCTTGTTTTGTTATCTTGGAGTGTATAGTTAATTGGTTGGTTTGTTTTCAATTAATTCTTAATTCATGCTGCACATCTCTCTCTCTCTGTTTTTTCTTCTTCTCTTTTTTCGGTTTTTCGGTGATGAGAGAATGGCAAAGCTTCTTTTTCTCTGCTGCTCAGCAGCTCAATGGATCAGAAGCAGAAGGTGACTCTCGAGTCTTCTGATGCCTGCAAATCTCAAGGTTCCAAAAAAATTATTATTTTGTCTGCAGAGAAGATGACCATGTCACAATGTCACAGAAGCAAATATAAAAACCTCATTCATAATGAACTAAGCACCAAGAAAAGATTCACTTTACTACTAAATTCCAAGTGAATCCCCATGGGGGTCTCCCAGGTTTTCTATCAGATTTTGATCCCACATATTGGGATAAGGATCTTTTCATCTTGTTCCCTCAGCAGCAGTGAACATGGAAACATATGTACACATGCAAAACAGCTCATTATAAAGAAATTGAGTACCCACCACGTAGACAAATAGAGGGTTGGTGGTCGGCAAGCAAAATTCCTTTATCTAAGGCCTTCTCCAACCCATGAGGAGCTAAACCCAAATTTTCCCCCTTCAAAAAGTAACTATTTAGGTTTTGCCCAGACTCCAATCGTTTTTTTTCCAACCCTTCAGACTCAAATTTTAAGTCCACAACTTTATTAAATTGTTTAAAAATGGTTTAAGTCTAATTTTTTTTTATGGATAACTTTTCTTCATTCAATCTTTTTAAATAACTTCATAATTAAATTTTTTGAACAATTTGACCTAAAAAAATTGAAATTCCACAAATATAATTTGACCTAAATTAATTTAAAATTTTGTTTTGACCATTGAATTTAAGTTTCAGCCATTGGATTTTCTTTTTTTACCATTAAAATAGTTTAGATTTAATCTAGATCGTTGATTAAAGTAACTATTTAGGTTTTGCCTAGACTCCAATCGTTTTTTCTCCCAACCCTTCAGACTCAAATTTTAAGTCCACAACTTTATTAAATTGTTTAAAAATGGTTTAAGTCTAATTTTTTTTTTATGGATAACTTTTCTTCATTCAATCTTTTTAAATAACTTCATAATTAAATTTTTTGAACAATTTGACCTAAAAAAATTGAAATTCCACAAATATAATTTGACCTAAATTAATTTAAAATTTTGTTTTGACCATTGAATTTAAGTTTCAGCCATTGGATTTTCTTTTTTTACCATTAAAATAGTTTAGATTTAATCTAGATCGTTGATTTAAGTTACATTTAGAATATAAAATAAAAATTAAAAAAAAAAAACCAAATAGCAACAGCAGCTTGATAAGTGGCGGGACAAGCAGACAAACTTGAACAGCACAGCAGGTCAGCTGGGGCCCACGTCAGATTCTGTGCACATGGGGCTGTTTTAGGTGCAGTGGGCTCCATTGAATAGTATTGGATCCAAACAATACTTGGACCAATATTTGGGTCCAAATTTGGGTTTTCTCAAATTTTGGGTCCTTCATTTTCTTTAGTTGGGAGAAAATTTGGGCAATATTTTGGGTTTAAGTCTTTGGGTGGGAGATGGCCTAAGCGAAGAAATCCAAAAAAAAGGTGTTTTAAAAATAAATTCAAAAAAAGCTGCACCTAAGACTCCACGTGGACAAATGGTAGTGGCTAGGGTCCCCCCAATTTTGTCTCTTTTCTCTCATTATTTTGTCCCTTTATATTTTATAATTAAATTAAGGTAAAAAGTTGTTTTTGGTCTCTGTAATTCGTCACTCTTAACATTTTAGTCCCTGTCATTTGAATTTGATCAATTTTATCCATGTAGTTTTCAATTTAATCAATTGAAGGATAAATTTAGTTTCAGTCAAAATAAAGCAACTGTCGTTAGTTCTTAAGGGGCATTTCGGTCCAAAAACAAAGGTGACCAAAACCAAAAAAAAAGAGAATAAAATAACAAAAAAGTTTTTTTAAAAGTAACAAAAAAGAACACCTGATTACCCAAACCCCACCCGCCCCTATTATCCTTCCTCACCCCTATCCCGACCCACGATCTCTCTCGTCGAAGATTCCCTTGGCCACGTCATCGCGGAGGTACTCCCTCACCGTCGCCAGCTTGAACCTAACACACGTCTGGTTCCCCTTGGTCAAAATAAAAGGGGCAACGACGTTGTGGCGAGCCGGTAATCGTGGTTGTACAAGAGCGAGGCCTGGATGCTGTCGTAATAAATTCTGAGCTTGTGGTTGGGGTTGGCGACTAGGAGGGTGAGGTCCCAAGTGGCGGTGAGCTCAAAGCGACTGTCGTTGAATGTGAAGATGGAGGCAAAGTCGACCCAGAAATCGGGGAGGCGAGGCTGGAGGGCGAGCCAAGCGATGAAGAAGACGAGGGACATGATGGCGAAGACGATGATGGCAGCGATGAGGAGGCAGCAGAGGATGGTGGGCATGTTGGGCGGCGAGGGTGATGGTTTGGTTGGCTAAGTCGGACTAGGGGGAAGGCTGGGAAGATAGAGATGTAGAGATATTTTGTTATTTTTCTTTTGATTTTTTATTTTTAACTTTCAGTAATTTTTTTTATCTTTTTATTTTTTTCCAGCCTTTGTTTTTGAACCGAAATACCCCTCCACAGCTAACAGAAGTTACTTTATTTTGACAGAAATTGAAATTTATCCTTGAATTGTTTAAATTGAAAACCGCAAAGAAAAAATTAATTAAATTAAAATAACAGGACTAAAGTAGTAAAAATAACAAATTATAAGGATGTCTAATGCGCGTTAATTAATTTAAGGCCAAAAATAACTTTTTGCCTTAAATTAACTTTTTGGCCTTAAATTAATTAACGCGCCTTGTACAGAAAGAGAGAGAAACAGAGGAGAAATTGTTGTCGAAGAGGATTCGGGGAGAGTCCGAGGAAACCTCCTTCTCCTTACCTACCAAAGGAGGAGAACGGGCACTTACGGAAAAATATCACATCACATCACATGTTTGCTAAAACACAAACTGAGGTGCCTGTTCTTCTCTCCTTTACTCTGACCCAATCCATTTAATTCCTGGTAGGTTTCCAATAACGTCTTCGCTTCCTCTTTCTCCATTTTCCATTTCAAAGCCGCCCATAAATTTGATTGCTTTCATAACGAAGGCTGTGGCCAACTGGGCATCGATTGAAGATTTGATTTACTGGGTTTGTTTTGGTTTAAGGGGTTTCGATTGTTTGGACTCTGGGGTTGATTTTCTTTGTCGATATATAGGACATCGAGAAACCTTTGATGGGTATATATGATTTATGATATTCTTTGATAATATCGGTTCAGTTTTTGGATTCGTGGGTGTTGATGGGTTTGTGATTGATCCTTGGAAGCATTGACTGTTATAATTGAAGGGTTTTTTTGAGCATTTGGTGGTGGGTTTGCTCAGTCGGCTGTATATCTTTGAATGTATCATATTATTACTGAAGAGGAGGATCGGCTTGTGAGCGTACCCGACTCTTTTCTGGGTGTTCTCAGGCCAATTTACCTGCCAATTGAGCAAAAGGCCTTTTCTTTTTGTTTTCCAAGAGATAGATGGGATAAGGAGTTCTTCAAGCTGCAGGGAGGATAATAAATAAATAAATAAATTTGTCGAAATTACAAAGTTTTGGGCTTTGGTAGTGCTTTTGTTTGGAGAAATTTGAGATGGGTTCTACACAAAGGTCTACTTTGTCAACAAATGTGGCAGACTTGGTTGATGCTTCACAATCGACCCGCCAAGAGGTCTCATACATTGATAGTATGCCTGTTTATGTTAGGGAGTTGATTGCCGGAGGCGCTGCTGGAGGATTTGCTAAGAGTTCTGTTGCACCACTGGAACGGACCAAAATACTCTTGCAGGTGAGGCTTCTATTAAGCTCCATGTTTGTTGATGCAAATTATTTCAGTAGATGGTGAATGGTTGTTTAAGGAATTTTATCATCTTGAATGATTCCACTTGGATATATTGCTCTTCTCATTTTTGTCATGCTAGTTATCTTTTTGTTATATGCTTTCCCCACTCTGCTCGCTCTTTCTCTCAATGTTTCTGTTTGTGTCTGTATTTGCATGTATGCATGGAAATTTATAGACAAGAACAGAGTTCCGTTCTCTCGGAGTGTGTCAATCTTTGAAGAAGTTGTTTAAGCATGAAGGTGTTCGAGGATTCTACAAGTAAGGGACATGAGCAATGAACTTTGTATATTTTTTATAACATTCTGTTTCCGTTGCTGAAAGGCTTATTCTTGATCTTCTTGTCTGTGTTTCAGAGGAAATGGAGCTAGTGTTGTTCGAATTGTTCCTTATGCAGCTTTGCATTACATGACGTATGAGCAGTACAGGTGTTGGATCTTGAATAATTATTCTGCTTTAGGATCGGGGCCTCATATTGATCTTTTAGCTGGTGCAGCAGCTGGAGGGACAGCAGTTTTATGCACTTACCCCTTGGACCTAGCTCGCACCAAACTTGCTTATCAGGTCAGTGTCTTGTTTTTATTTTATTAGAATTCTCTATCATTTATGCAAAAGTTATAAGTAGGATACAGAGTGAAGAAGTGCATTTAGCATACAGAGTGAAGAAGTTCATATTGACAGTTTCATTATCATTAGTTTTTTCTTCTGTCATCGACTTTTGAATTGCTTATCTGAGAGCCCATCCTATAATAGTTCAGCATGAAGAGACAATTTAGCCGTGTCCAGCTTTAGAGGAATTTGATATGGGATTTGATGGCTCTTTTCTTCTTTGAAATTGATTTTTGTAATAGTTAATTGATCATCATTAATCTCTTTTGGGTTGAATTTTAACAATCATATGGTTTTACAGGTTGTTAATACCAGAGGAAACTTCAAGTATGGCATGAAAGGTGCCCAGTCTCAAATTGTTTATAAGGGCATAAGGGATGTGCTTTCAAGTGTTTACAGGGAGGGGGGCTTTCGTGGGCTTTATCGAGGTGTAGGTATGTATTTGCTTGCCTAATTTTAATGTGGCAGGACCCTTTGTCACCACATTCATTGTGTTCTTGAAAGGCTGCCATTATCATTTTATTGATAAGCAACATTGGCAAAGAACATTATGTTTTTAACTGAGGCTCGTATTTCAAAAACCCATGTATCTCATAGCTGATAGTTCTGTTAAAACTTGTACTGATTTGAAGTGCCTTCTGTCCTTATGTGATGCCATATTATGGACAAGGTAATATTAATTTGGAGCTTCCTTTGCTTGATCAGGCCCAACACTCGCTGGAATCCTCCCTTATGCTGGTTTAAAGTTTTACATATATGAGAAACTTAAAACGCATGTTCCTGAAGAATATGAAAAGTCCATTGTGACACGCCTTTCCTGTGGAGCTTTGGCCGGGTTATTTGGGCAAACTCTCACATACCCCTTGGATGTTGTTAGGAGGCAAATGCAGGTATTGCTTCGTCAACATTTGAGAAGTTTAACTCTGTTTTCTCTTTTCTGCTCTTTAAATGTTAGATGTTTGCTTGGAATTAAAATTTGTTGAAATAAAAAGCACATGACACTTTAGGTGAGAAATAGTTAGGGAGTTTTGAGGGAATGGAATGAAAAGGAACGCAGGAAATGAGTCAAGCTAATGCATTTTGCGTGGTGGATGAGTAGATAAAATTGATGTTCAAGCTTTGGTTTTGGCTTGAAACAAGTGGAAGATTAGGATACTGTTTTTTTTTTGTTTTTTTTGGTACGTACTGTAATATGAACTTGATACTTTGGAATTGTAGTTTGGATTTTCACATTAGTTGTGGGATATTACAGGTTGAGAATCTGCAGCCTTCAGGTCAAGGTGGTGTTAGGTACAAGAACACATTGGTGGGTCTTACATATATTGTTCGTAATCAAGGATGGAAAAAGTTGTTTTCGGGCCTAAGTGTTAACTATATCAAGGTGATTTCTTATTCTCTATGGCTATACGGATTTAAGAATTTTGGGGCTTGTTTTTCTTGCTACTAAGAATTTTACTGCTGTTCTCAGATCGTTCCCTCTGTGGCAATCGGTTTCACTGCATACGACACGATGAAGGCTTGGCTCCACATTCCGCCCCATCAGAAGTCCAGTCAATGACTGCCCTCCATAATCAGAGATTCAGATTGTGTAAACATACGAACTCCCATCGAAGCGATAGCATCTGATGCTAATAAAAATATTGTCTCTCTCTCAATTACAATTTACAAGAAATTTATGCGTACGCTACTCCCTTTAACAATGATGTATTTCTTGTGCAAATGGTCCCTTGACAATCAATTATTCAAACTATAATGAATTCTGGAAAGTGACTCCTCCATTATTGGGATGTTGGCCAGGCAGTCTAAATTTACCACAAAACCTTCACTAAACAAATAACAAGAAAGAACTTAAAAGCAGCCTCCAATTTCTGGGATATTTTTTTGAAATTAATATCACAGAAATTGGAGACTGCTTTCAAGTTCTGTGATATTAATAGTTGTTAAGAACTTTACTATTGTTACCCTAATGCAAATGGGCATATAAATTTACGTAGATTATTGCTGAGCTCTGCCAACAAACAAAAAATATAGAAATTAATTAATTTTAGAAAGATTGAAAGGTCAATGAGTGGAGCTCCAGTTTCTAGAGCTATGGCAAGAGGCTTGTAGCTCAAGTCAAGTGATTAAGAGCATTTACCATAGCAGTCGAGGTACTAGGTTCGATTCTCCTTCCTCCAATATCACTTGTATTATAAATAAATAAATAAATAAGCTATAGAATATCAACCATGCTATCAATCATACAACCCCACCTTTAATCTCTCTTTAACTTCCTAGAAACTCTGTGGGACCAACTTTGATTTTTCAAGCAAATGTATGTAGCCTTGATAAAAAGGACAAAAAAAAGTAATTAAATTATATTTGTGTAGACTAGTATAATACCATACTATTGTCACTCAAATGCAAATGGGCAAAATTTTTGTGTGTAGATTAATACCCAGAAGATTGAATTGATTTAAGAAAGACTTCAAAAGACACGGGTCAAACTAGTTGCTTCTTCATTCCTTCTCTTTAACTTTCCTTGAAGCTCCCCACGACCAACTTTGATTTTTCAAGCAAATGTATGCAGCCTTGATCAAAATAGGATTTATTTATAAATTAAAAAAACCATATAAATACTATGCCGCCAGTGTTCTGCCAGTGTATATAAGGAGAGGCACTAGTCTTTAGATACGTGTGATTGTGTACACACTGTCTTGTCTTCAACCTTAAATTAGTTGACTTGACAGATAAAGAGAGAGCAAGAGGAGAGCTTCTGAAGGTCTTCTGGTTTTTTGCATTTGCATGTAAGATATAAAGCTGAATCTTGAGCATATTCTTTTTATACTACATTAATTAACATCTAATTACCTCATTTAATGTGGGTTGAAGTAGTTTGTATATGTTGTTAATTTAAGTGTGTTTCCATGATATTAGTTCCTTGGATTAATTCATTTGCATGTCAGAATAAGATAGATCTTAATCTTGAGCATTCTCTGAGTGTTCATGATGCTTGATGGGTCTGAAGTGAAAAAATGAATATAGAAAGGTTGAATAAGCTTCAAAATTTGGGTATACACAGAACCAAAACTTGAAGCATCTGATCATACATTTGAAAATTCAGATTCAACCTCTTCAATGGGTACAAATCGTGAAACACTGTCGAAAAAGCCACCCGCTGTTTCAATTCCTAAATCAACCCCATTATTTTCTCCAAGACCGGTTAGTGAGCTTGAACCTGCAGCAACTAAACTTCAGAGAGTGTATAAAGCTTACAGGACTAGGCGTAAGCTTGCAGATTGTGCTGTTGTGGTTGAGGAACTATGGTTTGTACCTTAAAACAATGCCAGACTTTTGTTACTCTTTTGTTGCTTGGAGTAAAATTAACCACCCTTCTCTAATTTATTTGTATTTGTTCCCTTAATTGTTTTAGGGAGAAGGCCTTAGTCTTTGCAGCTCTGAAACGAAGCTCGGTGTCCTTCTTCAACATTGAGGAACATGAAACTGCTGTGTCACGGTGGGAACGGGCTAGGACAAGGGCTGCCAAGGTACTTTTGTGATATTACATGAATCATATTTCTAATTAAGATGTGTTTTATGGAACTCCAAATCCAATCCAAATTAATTAACAGCAAAAGTTTTTTGCGTCTGTAGTTAGGGAAGGGTTGGTGCAAGGATGAGAAGGCTCAGATGCTAGCTCCACAGTACCTTCTCGAAGCTGTGAGTCTATGACTATGTTACTTTGCACTTCTAAATTTCTAGTCCAATTCTGTTTAGCTTTCTTTCCTGATCTTTTTGCTTTTGTTAGTTTTTCATCCAAAGGCTGAAAGTGAAAGTTCATTTTGCTGTAAACACAAGCCTACAGATCAATCCAAAGCTATATAGGCAAAAAAACAAACATTCTAAAAGCAGTTCATGCATTTATTTAAAGTTGGAAATTCATTGCTCAATCTTTTCTCAGATTGATCCACGCCATCGGTTCGGACTCAATTTGCAACTCTATTATGATGTCTGGTCTGAATGCACGACTATCCAACCTTTCTTCTACTGGTGAGTGTATGTTTGTGTGCCTGAGGAAAAACCTTGTTCCATGATTAGACAGTTATATATATAAGATTAATTAGCTTTTTATTTCTTCTATTACCACTAATAACCTCTTTTCCTCCCCTGGAACTTAAGGTTGGATGTTGGTGATGGTAAAGAAATAAACCTCAAGGATTGCCCAAGAAGTGTTCTAACCCGTCAGTGCATCAAATATCTTGGACCAGTAAGGACACTACTCCCCTAATTAATCATACTTAACAAACTAATTAATCAAAGTAAGTAGGCCTCATGTTTTCTCATTTTCTGTTGCAGAAAGAGAGGGAGTCATATCAAGTGATTGTGGAAAATGGAAAGCTCATGCACAGGCAAACTGGGAAGCTTGTTCACACAGTTGAACTTGGGTCTAAGTGGATTTTTGTGCTGAGCACATCAAGGGCTTTGTATGTTGGGCAAGAAACAAAAGGTGTTTTCCAGCACTCAAGTTTTCTATCTGGAGGTGCTGCAAGTGCAGCTGGAAGATTAGTTGCCCACAATGGGGTTCTTGAGGTGCATTATATTTCTGAAATACTACTGGTTTTTAATTGTTGTGCAATAGATGATGACAAAGAATCATTCATTGATCCAACTGATCATCAACATGAGAGTATGGGGTCCACATCCAATGCAACCAATAGAGAAGCCCCTGTATATGACTTGTCCAAGCGTTTGTCTTGCAAGTGGTCTACTGAGAGTGGTCCACGTATTGAGTGCAGAGCTAGGATTGCGAACACTGGAACAAGTCAACTTGTCACCAAATATCAAACTGGGCTGCCATGGAAGTAGTAGTCCAAATCCAATCCCTTCACCACGACCAAGCCCAAGAATCAAGCTCACACCTAGGCTTGCCTATATGGGACTCCCTAGGCCAAGGAATACCTGATGATCCCACCCCCAAGACCCCCCCTTTTTATTTTTTATAACAAGATGTATATTCTAAATTGTATTAATATACGGGGATGAGATTTGCCCTAGACTTAGCACGTCTGTCTTTTCATCCTTTCTTTTTATTTTTCTACTTTTGTCTCACGAAAAATTTACAAAGATCTAGCAAGTCATATTGTATAACTTTTAGTTGAAAAATAAAATAAAATAGGATAAGTATAGAATTAATCATATCCGAGCACAAAAGCAAACCATCACAAATTCGTCATTTCCCTCGTTATTTTATTCTTCAAATCCCCACGCATCTGCAATTATGTGCATGGTTTTCAACCTCTCTGCATTTTCTACAGTGAACAGCTACGCGGACAAGGCTTGTCTCCTTCCTTCCACTGAGGACAAGGCCATTTTGCCTTTTGTTAAAGGGAACTGTTATCAGTGTCCCATCCAGTCAACCAACTAATCTATAATCCATGACCAGGCCAGGACTAGCTTGGTTGAAAAATGCATGTTTTTGTGTCACACGTTTAAGTTAAGAATATCTTGCATTTATGTTTCCTGAAATATCTCAGTCTGTTTCAAGCAAATTTCTATCTCTGGTGTGGTGGCATGCCATTGCCAATCACTTGCATGGGGGGTAATTAAGGCGTTTGCTGTCACTGTCCTGGGTCCAATTTTGTACTGACGGATATATTCAAGACTCTATTCTCATGGACCACAAGAGCAAGGTGTGCCAACCATATTGTGTACTAATAATAAGTATATTTTCATCAACGGCGTCTAGCTCAACAGAGAAGAGCCCTTAATTTAGGTTTGAATTCCATGACACCTTAATAATGCGTGTTTGAGAAACCCTTAATAATGCGTGTTTGAGAAACCCTTACCTTTTGTAGTTTAGAGAGTATTCCACGCAGATGCACACAAAAATTGAAGTTATGGCACGAGCTACTTTTTTAAAGACTGGTGGTTGAGTGCGAAAGAAACGCCACAAAATTCATATCCGGACTATCCAGCAGAGGGCGAGCTAATCCAAGTCCTTTTCGTTTTCTTTCTGTAAACTTGTGTGGTGGACAGAGATGACACCTTCATGCCAAACAGGCTGATTTTAATTGTTGGTCTTGCAAGTTGATCAATTAATGCCTTAAAAGACTTCAAGTAGAATTTTTTTTGCTTTTTTTCTTCTTTTGGCAGAAAGCTAGTAGATGGAAATTTGGAGGGCCTTGTTTTGTTCCTGTGGATCGAACTAACCATAGTTTATGTACATTAAGCTAGGATTGAAAATGACCCCTCCATTATTGGGGATGTTGACCATGCAGTCTAAATTTTACAACAAAAAATTTCCCCCAACGAAACAAAATAGAAAAGCAAGATAAACTTAATTAAGCAGCCTCTAGTTTCTGTCATAGATTAACACAAACCGGTAATTACAGTTTGAATAAGTCGGTTCGGCCGAATTGATGCTCACCCTAACTCCGATGCAAATGTCATATAAGTGTATGCAGATTATGCTAACCCACATTTGTTAGTATTATTGCTGAGCTCTGCCGACAAAAAAAAATTGATTTAAGAAAGAATACAAAAGTCAACTAGTCAAGCTCCACGAGTTTAAGTTTTAACAACCCAAAAAATGCCTAATAATCTGGTCTGAAAATTTACAGTTTCTTCCAGTCTAAAAGCAGGGCCAGTAAACTTCTTCAATCTTTCTCTTTAACTTCCTTGAACCTCCATGTTTGATTTTTCAAACAACTACAGCCACTGGTGAGAGTGTATATAAAGAGAGGAACTAGTCAGCCAATATGTGTGATTTTGTACACTGTCTTCAGAGTCTTCAAACTCTCAAGACTTATATAGCAGTTGGTTGACTTGAGAGAAACAGAGAAACAGTCATGGTGAGGTCCATTAGCTTTGAAAGAAAACAAGAGGAGGTAGACTTGGGAACGTGTAGAGAAGAATCAGAAACTCAGAACAGGTCTTTTGGGTCTGATAAAGTGAGTATGCAGAGGTCAATAAGCTTCAAAAATTGGGAATTCACAGAGCCAAAACTTGAAGCATCTGATCAAACATTTGAGAAATCTGGTTCAACCTCTTTAGTGGGAAGAAATTGTGAAAAGTTGCAGATAAACAAACCTACAATTGTGCTTCCTCAACAAATGGTATATTTTTCTCCAAAGCCAGTTAGCGAGCTTGATGCTGCAGCAACCAAGCTGCAGAAAGTGTACAAGAGTTACAGGACCAGGCGTAACCTTGCAGATTGTGCTGTTGTGGTTGAGGAACTATGGTTTGTTTGTACCTCAAAACTATGTCAGATTTTGTTACCCTTTTGTTGCTTGCTTGCTTGGCGTTCAATTAATCCTTTGTTTCTTGTGTTTGTTCAATTTCTGTAGGTGGCAGGCCTTAGACTTTGCAGCTCTGAAACGAAGCTCTGTGTCCTTTTACAACACTGAGAAACATGAGAGCGCCGAGTCACGGTGGGCACGGGCTAGGACAAGGGCTGCCAAGGTGCTTTGATAATATGAAAATTATATTACTGATGAGATGTGTTTTATGGATAATTAATTCCAAATTAACAGCAAAAAGAAAAACTTAATATGTGTTTGTAGGTAGGGAAGGGTTTGTGCAAGGATGAGAAGGCTCAGAAACTTGCTCTGCAGCACTGGCTTGAAGCTGTGAGTTTATGAACTTGTAATTCAGGCATTTTTGTCACATAAGTACCATGATTAATCATTGCTAAAAAAATTATCTTTTTTGAACAGATTGATCCACGCCATCGGTATGGACACAATTTGCAATTCTACCATGATGTCTGGTCTGAATGCAGGAGCATCCAACCTTTCTTCTACTGGTAAATAATTCAGAGACTTAGAGTTTTTATATAAGATCTTATTAGCTTGGCTCATTCTTCTGTTACCTATCAATAAGTAACAATAATATCGTATTAACTTTTTACTTCTCCCATGGAACTTCAGGTTGGATGTTGGTGATGGTAAAGACACAAACCTCAAGAAGTGCCCAAGAACTGTTTTACAACGTCAGTGCATCAAATATCTTGGACCGGTAACTACCTTTAATTATAGTTTGCCACGTGAAATTGCATGCATCCGCACACATACTTAATCACAAATTAAAGCATTTACTGATGTTGCAGAAAGAGAGGGATGCATATGAAGTGATTGTGGAGAATGGAAAGCTGGTCCACAAGCCAACTGGGATACCTGTTGAAACAGTTGAAGGGTCGAAGTGGATTTTTGTGCTGAGCACATCAAGAGCTTTATATGTTGGGCAGAAAAGAAAGGGCTCTTTCCAGCACTCAAGTTTTCTATCTGGAGGGGCTACAACAGCAGCTGGAAGATTGGTTGCCCACAATGGTGTTCTTGAGGTACACTATAGTATATATCATGCATATTATATTAGTGTTTTTTTTTTAAATATTTCTTTTGTAATTAAATATTTAAGCTAATTAAATCCGCTTAATTCTCTTTTGCTTCTTCAGGCTATATGGCCTTACAGTGGCCACTATCTCCCAACTGAGGACAATTTCAAGGAGTTCATCAGCTTCCTGGAGGAACACCATGTAGACCTAATCAATGTCAAGGTAATTAGCAATTAATTACATTAAACTAATTCTGTGCACAAGGAGATCAAAATAGCTAATTCTTTTTCTGTTTACAGATGTGTGCAACAGATGATGACAAAGCATCCTACAAAGCTCCTTATGATGATTTGTCTAAGACAGAATTGAATGGACCTATAACCAATGACCCAAATCCAATCAAACACCAACATGAGAGCATGGGGTCCAATGCAGCAGCACCAGCCTTTGACCTGTCGAGGCCTTTGTCTTGCAATTGGACCAGTGGGCTTGGTCCACGCATTGGCTGTGTACGGGACTATCCTGCAAACCTACAATTTATGGCACTTGAACAAGTCAACCTTTCACCAAGGGTCTCACTGGGCCACCATGGAAGTTGTGCTCCAATCCCTTCACCTAGACCAAGCCCAAAAATCCGGGTCTCTCCTAGGCTTGCCTACATGGGTCTTCCTAGCCCAAGGGTACCTGTTCCCACTGCCAATTAGACATGTGGCCTTCTCAACGACGATAAGCTGGGTACTTTTTCTTTCTTCTTTTGGCTTAAAAGGGGTAAATCAAAGAGACTGTAATGGCAGGCTCCTACAACCATGGGTGATAAGTGATAATGAGAGGGTCCTTAATAGTTAATCAGTTTCTGAATTATTATTAGATGGTTGGATCGAATCCCTCAATGTAGCCGGGTAAAATGCTCAAGAGTCTAGAAGGGCCAAATTTGTTTATTCTTTTTTTTTATAAATTTGTAAGTTGTGAATATGCTCTTCGAATTCATTGCGTTATGAATGAAGTGAAAACAGTTCTCTCAGTTCTCTTTCTCTGAGTTTTATTCAGTGCAAGCAAGCCATCATTGAATGACAGTAGAAGTGCTAGCATTACTTGCATAGTAAAAGACAAAGCATTAGGTAGTATATGATCATAAATGAATCAGTGAATTCATTCCAAAAACAGATAAAAGAAGGAATTACTTACCAACCAAACTAAATAGAAAAACAGAAAAGAAGGAATCCAATGTAAAATTTCTTTTGAATAACAGGAAAGAAAAGTCCTTTTTCTGAAAGTTGATTAATTTAATGATAGAATTGGAAAAGAAATTGGAAATTTGAAATCTTGGTAGGAAAGGAAGCACAGTCGGAGAGACAAGATTGTTGAACCTCGATGTCAACGACTGACAAAAGAAAAACATAAATGGTCTGGTTGGTATTTGGTAACCTCGAAATCGAAATAATCAAATAACAAAAATGTGCACTTTTCTCCAAACAAATGCTTCTTTTTCACGAATGCTCCCCCATCAGTCTTCAGACTTCTTCGCATTCAAAAAACAGTTGAGCAGAGCAGAGCAGTAATAATAATTAGTCTATTAAGCATCTCTGGCTCTTAGATCTTTTTTATTAACGATGCTAGCATCAGCGGCTGGCGCATATGTGTTACTGAATGTCATTATTATATTGGACAACTGCATGATAACAAATGATTGACTCGAAATTGTACCACGATGGTATCCTTAGTATAAGTAAGATTTTCTCCATACATAGATCAGTGATACATGCACACCCAATGGTAAAACGACTCTTTGAAGTCATTTTCAAATGATGAATTTTTAGTTAGTTTCCAAAATGTTAGCTATGTCGCATGTGAATTGAGTTCGTACTCTTTTGTTGTATGAGAATCAATTTGACACTTCCCTTCCCCAACATTATATTTTGGGCAGACATCAGATTTTAAAAAAAAAAATTGGGTGGCAAACATCAGATTCATTTGGGAGACATCAGTGCAAGTCTTGTTAGTATTTTGCTGGATCCTTTTTGGGTGCTATTTGATGAATAATTCAGCACCATGTAGGCCCACATCCACGTGGCTCATTTCCATTGGCGAAAGGTGGTCCTCAATGGATGAGGAATTAAAAAACACAATAATAATCTGAGTGCGGTGGAGGACTACTCTCCAATCAAATCCAGGAGATCTTTTGTCGGTTTCTTTTTTGGCACTTTTAGTAACTTTTAGTAACTTTTAATGTACTGACAAAACGGGCTCGTGCCGTCGTGGCCTTCGATCATTTTTCCCCAAAAAAAGTAGTGGCCCTAGTGGGGTGCAATTTCGTAATTTCTTCACAACGCAAGGGCAAAGACCTGCACGCCTTCAAAGAATCGAGCGCGTTTTTTACTTCCCACATTTGTCCCTTGTTATTTGAATTTCAAACATCGAACGGCTCTATTTTGTCTTTAGACCAAAAACAGCGCAAACACAACCCACTAATCCCACAAAACAAAGCAACACACCACGTCCCTCGCTTTCTTCGAACTCTGTTTTCTGCAAAAGCTCTGAACTTTGTAATAACTGTGCAAGTTTCATACAAAATCAAGCGGCTGTTTTTGCTTGGTCTGCTCAAGCAGAAGTTTTTTTTTTTACACAAATGGGTGCTTCAGGAAAATGGGTCAAAGCTTTTATAGGCCTCAAAAAACCAGACAAAGACGACCATGTAAAGCTTCAATCTTCACAGTAGTTACAAGTTGAACTTTTTTCAACTTTGTTAGTCTAATTTTTTTTTCTGGGTTTAATTTTGTAGGACAAGGTGAGTGGGAAGAGCAAGAAGTGGAAGCTATGGAGGAATTCTTCAGGGGATTTCGGGTCTTCATGGAAGGGTTTCAAAGGAAATCACAGAGCAGCTTCTGAGGGCTCAGATTCACCAAGGGGGACTGATGCATATAATGCTGCAGTGGCCACAGTGGTTCGAGCTCCTCCTAAAGATTTCAGGGTTGTGAGGCAAGAATGGGCTGCTATCCGGATCCAAACTGCTTTCAGAGGCTTCTTGGTAAAAATAGCTTCTTTTTTTTCTCTTTCATTTTTGTTTCTTGGGTCGATGTATGTGCATAACTTTATTGGCAGCATGCTTTTGAAATCTAAAACCTATAGGCGGCCATAGATCTTAATGTCTGGTTTTTTTAGCAATCTTCTTGTTGATGTAAGAAAGTTCTCAAAGCCTCGATGCATAACTTGGTTTGTTACGTTTAGTGTACTTTTGTTCTGTTAAGTTTTAAGGGGCATCCACACCTGTTTGATAAAATACCCAATTGCGCATTGAGCTTAATGTTAATGATTTGGCTGCTGTTGACGAAAGTTTGAAGCTTTTTTCTGGTTAAACTGCTATGCAGGCAAGAAGGGCTTTGAAGGCCTTGAAAGGAATAGTGAGGCTTCAAGCTCTGGTTCGGGGTCGACAAGTGAGGAAGCAGGCTGCTGTAACACTGAGGTGCATGCAAGCTCTTGTTCGAGTTCAGGCCCGTGTAAGAGCTCGTCGGGTGCGAATGTCCATAGAGGGCCAAGCTGTGCAGAACATGATCAATGAACGGCGCACCCAAGCTGATCTGCTTAAAGAAGCTGAGGTACCCTCAAACTCTAAAGTTTTGAGCTTTCATCTAAAATGTCACGGAAGAAATCTTTTGGGTTGGCTTTCGGCTCACCCTTTAACAAGTGAAAAATGGAAATGCAGGAAGGATGGTGTGATAGCAAGGGAACAATAGAAGATGTTAAAGCAAAGATACAAATGAGGCAAGAGGGGGCCTTCAAGAGGGAGAGAGCAATTGCTTACGCTCTTGCTCAGAAGGTAATAAAATACAAAAGTCTCTTAATTTGAGTACTTATTTTTCACATGACTGGTATAAAAAATAAAAATAAATAAAAAAATTGAATTTCTTCTCTTTGTCTTCTCAGCAATGGAAATCAACCCCAGATTCAAATTCTCGCACCAGGTCCTCAGTGTACTCTCTCAATAAGAATAATGAATTTGACAAGAATAGCTGGGGATGGAGTTGGTTAGAGCGTTGGATGTCAGCCAAGCCATGGGAGACTAGGCTGATGGAACAGTCCCAAAATGACCCCTCTGAGATCACACCACCTCCAAAGAATTGTGCAGACCCTTTTGTGAGCAAACATTCAAAATCTTCAGAACCATACTCAGTCAAAGTCAGAAGGAACAATGTCACCACTAGGATTTCTGCAAAGCCTCCCCACATTGGGCAAGGTACCCGCTCGTCTTCGAGCCCAAGTTCAGAATTTCGGTATGATGAGAGCTCTGCTTCATCTTCACTCTGCACATCCACAACACCGGTTTCGGGGAACACCGGATTGGCTTCGGATAGAACAGATGACAGCAGTAACTGTAGGGTACCAAGTTACATGAACCTGACTGAGTCAACTAAGGCAAAACAGAAAGCAAGCAGTTACCAATCTCAGAGAATTCAAAGGCAGTCCATGGATGAGTTTCAGTTTCTCAAGAGGTCTGGGGCTTTCTCTAATGGGGATTCTAAAAGTAGTGCTGGTTCTGAGCCATCTTCAGTCAACTTCTCCAAACCACTTTGCATGCCAAGCCGGTTGGATAAGAACTCCCTGAAACTAAGGTGAAAGGGGAGGACTTGGTGTAATATGATCGACCAGCTTGATTAAGTTCGTTTGCTTGAGAAGATCAACATCTTGTTGTTCCCTTTTCCCTGTTATTGAGAATGTGTGTAATTTAATGCGAGATCCTGCTAGAATAGTGTTTCTGTACCAAGAAAATTTGAGTCCTTGATTTGAGGCTTCATTTGTAAAATAGTTCGTTTATGATTATGGAATCGAATCTCTTATTCCTACTTATTTCCAATGAGATCAATCATTGATTTGATCAGTAACTATGATCAATTAAATTAACCCATCACTGAAATTTTGGCTTCAAATTAAGTATTAACTTTAAATCAATTCTAAAATTTGGTGTAATCAGACAACTTCCATAGCGTGCTTTTGTAATCTGAAACCCGCATGTCCATACAGGGCGGTTAAGAGCTCGTCAGTTGCGAATGTCCATACAGGGTTAAACTGTGGAGGCTGATCTCTTAAAAGAAGCTGAGGTACCTCGAACTCTAAAATTTATTTGCTTTCCTTGAAGTGCCAAAAACGAAAATGCAGGAAGGTGGAGGTGGGGGTGGTTGTGTGTGATTGATAAACAGAGCACTAAAAGAAATGACCAAAGTAGCACACAGAGCAGCACACGGGAGCATACAAATACACATATGCAAAGAACAAATCACAATAGAATGACACCTCAGCTAGGGTCCAGAAGAATAGGAGAAAATGGCTAGTAGTACTAAGCACCACTCACCTACACTTATCATCGTCTCCATCCTTTTTGTAACGAAATTTATTCTAGGTCTTTCATTATAGATAAGCTGTATATATGAATACCACTGTACACAGAATATCAAGGGAATACAAATACGAATTCTTTCTTAAAGCCTAAATCTTCTCTCTTCCTTTCTTTTCTCCTTAATTTTTCAGTGATAGCAGGGAATAATAGAAGGTGGTAAAGCAAAGACTCATATGAGGCAAGCAAAGAAGAAATATCCTTGCAATGGCATCATGTGCGCTTTATGACTCTAAGCTTGATACCATACTTGAACTTTAGAACAATGCCAAACTCAAGTTCCAGAGGTATCTCCATATTGGGAGTGTGGCGGAATACATATTTCCGGTATAAATGAATCAACGAGAGCTTTATTTCTTGCAGGGAAAATTTCTGACCAATGCATGATCGAGGTCCGAGGCCAAAGGGTATAAAAGCATAAGGATGCCTTTGTTTTTCTTCTTTGCAGCTTGGATCAAACCTCTCTGGCTTAAACTTGTGTGGCTCTGGGAAGTTCTTTGGATCTTTTGCTAAAACTCCGAGCGCTAACCACACCCATGTCCCCTGCTCAACAAAAAATAAATAATCCCATAAGGTATAAAAAACCATTTCCAGTCCACAGAGGAAAAGTATTTGTACATAGAAATGTTCTTGATTTGTGTAAGTAGAAAAATACCTTCGGTAGAAGATAACCTCCTATTTCGACTTGTCTAGATGTTTCTCTTGCAACTAATGGGGAAACCATGTAAAACCTCATTGCCTCTTTGATAACCTGCATGCAAAATTTCAAACAACCAATAAATAAATCAAACTCCATTGCAGATAGGTCTTCTTCCCTTACATGGGAAAATATGGTTTCCACAGTAAGTAAGAGCAAATAAATAGAGGTAATTGGTTAGCCCTTGCAGTTTCAGAGTTTCTAAAAAAAATGTCAACATTTTACATTCAGAAGACTTGCCTGATCAATATAAGGAAATTTGTGTTGAAGATCATGAGCAGTTGGCATCTCAGCAGATGGACCAAATCCATCAATCTCTGCCAGCAACTTCTTCTCAACTTCTGGGTGGGCAGCAACCAAGTAAACAACAGAAGACAATGTAAATGATGTGGTGGCCGACCCAGCAAGGAGATGCTCATAAGCAAGTGCACTGATGTAGTCTGGGGTGAAGAAATTCTTTGAAACTGTCTCTGCCTCTCTTGCATTCAGTATGAGAGACAAGAAATTCTTTGAATCTCGGCCGCCATTGTCTTTCATTCTCTTTTCAACAATCTGATCAAGCCGGCTAGTCAATTTCTGGTTGTTACGTTCAATTTTCCTGTCCATAGTGCCAGGGATTCTCTTCAAAATCTGCCAAAAGGGCGCCTGGAGTATGGGGACAAGTAGTCCCAGTATGATTGATAAGGAACCAGAAAAGTCCAGCTTAAGCTGTGTTGTGGAATATATGTGTTGGTTTATAAAGTCTGAGACTTCATCATTGGTAATGTCTTGGCCACCAATCTGCTTGTTGATTGAATCAGTGATGGATTGTGGTTTAGAAAGGCCAAAGTTGACACCAAAGGCAGCTTGTCCTATCACATCAGTGGCCAATCTGAGGGAGATGTTGGAAAAGGTAACTTCTTCTTCTTCTTTGGAGCAGTCATCAAGTTTTTGAGTTGCAGATTCAATGTATGACTGCATGGTGGGCACAAGGCTGGCTAGGTGTGATGGCTGATACACCGATAAGATCGTGTTTCGCATCGTCCACCACCTTGCATCCCTGCATGATGCTCAAATTCCACCAGATCAGTCAATGAACTCAACAACTTTAACTCATATATTCTACACTCCTTTACAATAATGACGAAACACAACAAATACCTGGTTAAAAACAGACCCTTCTGATGAAGAGGGGAAGCGGCAAGGGGAGACGGAATGCTTCTGTTTTTTATGTCTTTGAATTTCTTAATTCCAACTTCTCTACAAAGCTCTGCATCTGCTACAATTATTAGTGGTTGTCTGCCCATATGAAACCTGCCAGGACATGTAAAACCAAAAACTTAAGTGATGAGTGACATGCGGAGGACTAACCTTAACTTAACATATTCTTCAACATTAAAGTTATATGACTGAAATATAAGAGCATCCGCAATGATGCTCTCTATTTCTTAGCTAAAATTTAGTTAAAAATATAATAAAGCTATTTTAGGAGCTCTTTAAAAAACTTCAACTCCAACCATACTCCTTAATTTGGAGAGTCATAAATGCTATAACTCTTTTTTTATTGGTCCATCTCTATTAAAAAATAAAATAAAAAATAGTTAGCATTAAGTAAAGGTTTGAAATACTCATTAAATAAGGCAGCATTAAATTATAGGGAGCCACTAGAAGTACTTTCTCTCTCCTCAGATTTAGGAGCTCCTAGAGAACTCCCTATTTTAGGAGGTGGATAGAGAGCATGGTTGGAGTTGCATTTTTACAATTCCTCCCTAAAATTTGTCTAAGGAGGTGGTTTAAGGAGCCCATTGCGGATGCTCTAACACCCCGTTCCAACCATAATTAAAGAAGGAGATTTAAAATAATAATAATAATGAAAAGGCAAAAGAGTAACTTTTGCACAATCTACAGTCCACATCAAGCTCTGTAGCCATCAAAACATATACTTACTAAAAGTTACTAACCTGAAAATAGGGCCATACTGTTTGGCAAGAACTGAGAATACATCCGGACCATGCTTTGCCAGCAAGGGAATGTGCCCTATCAGAGGGATAGCTGGTGGGCCTGGTACCCTTCTCACCCCCCAGTAGGGCTTATAAAAGTAGCCCAAAACTACTCCTGCTAGCATTGCCAACAAAGTAAAGATGGTTGACACCAGACAAGCATCGGAAAGCATTAACAATTCCATTTCCATGCTACCTATCAATTTCTCCAGGTCTATTTCAATAGGACTCTAAATTCTGATTCGTCACTGCTCCGATGTTTGGTTTAATAATAGGCTAAAAATGGAATACTTGGAGGTCTCACTACTCGCTAAAACCAATCTTGATGAGCCGTAAATAGGTTGTTTTTTTTCTTTCTTCTTTCACTAAAACTCATTTGTCTTTATAGATTGGTTTCGGGGAGCACCGGATTGGCTTCGGATAGAACAGATGACAGAAGTAACTGTAGGGTACCAAGTTACATGAACCTGACTGAGTCAACTAAGGCAAAGCAGCAAGCAGTTACCAGTCTCAGAGAATTCAAAGGCAGTCCATGGATGAGTTTCAGTTTCTCTAGAGGTCTGGGGCTTTCTCTAATCGTAAAGTAGTGCTGGCTCTGAGCAATCTTCAGTAAACTTCTCCAAACCACTTTGCATGCCAAGCCGGTTGGATAAGAACTCCCTGAAACTAAGGTGAAAGGGGAGGACTTGGTGTAATAAGATCGACCAACTTGATTAAGTTCATTTTGCTCGAGAAGATCAACAGCTTGTTGTTCCCTTTATTGAAAGTGTGGGTTATTTAATGTGAGTTGGTTTATGATTATGGATTTGAATATCTCTTATTTCTACTTATTTCCAATGAGATCAATCATTGATTTGATGACTAGTGTTAACGGGTGAAATTAGACCAACGAATTATGGCATAATCACACATATATATATATAATACAAGTGCTTTGAGTGGTTCATCATAATTGGGTTATATCCATTATATTTTAATAATTTTATAGCTTTGTATTTGTCTTTGAATATAAAGACTTTACATTGTACATGATAGAGGCTTCAAGTCTTGGTAGAAGAGAAAGAGAGAGCTTTGGAGATATTTTGAGAGTTTCTGAGCCATGGCAGCCGGTCCTTGTGCTTGGAGGTGAACTCTTGCTTATATAGATAGAGGAGGGCATGGGTCTCCCTTGTTTGGTAGGATTATTCATGTGGGAGAGTATGGGATTACTTAAGGGATGTGATCATGGAAAATGACTTTCTTGTAATGGGGATAGCACTTTTTGCTCTCCCCAGCCAATGACACAATGACAAGTGAGATAACTTTTCCACGTGTCATTGTATCCCCGTTACAAGTAAGTTTTTCTAGTGATGATGAGTAGGTGAGGTCAACATGGTATCAACAACTAGCTTTCCTCTCTTGGATGTTACAGATCACTAGCTATGATCAATTAAATTAACCCACAATTGAAACTTTGGCTTCAATTCATGATTAATTTCGAAGACATTACGACAAAGATGTTTGCATAGAATTTCACTGAAATTTTAAAACTTTAAAAAACAAGAACAAGCCAAACCAAAACACATACCAAATCTGAAAACCTCTTTGCTTCCAGGGGATTTCCCATGAAACCACCCCTTCAGCTAATAAATCGGGCATCTCTCCCCCTGTTATGTTGTGGAGAGTTTTTCCTCCCAAATTTTGTTGGGTTTTGTCTGCTTCTTGCGTTTGCAAGGTTTTGTCTCATCCCTAGTTTTCTAGGGGTTGCTTACCAGCCTTTTGGGGTTGGTTTTTGGAAGATCCTGTTAGATATGTTGCGTTTGTTGGACGTGGAGCTACTGGATTGGTTGGATCAACAATCAATGGTGCTTGGGGATCAAGTGGGGATTTGGAGATGTTGTGATGTTTTTTGAAATGTCCTAGTGGAAGATGTGCAGTTATGCCCTCCACTTTGAGGTGTTTCTTGTCCCCCAAGTTGTTTGATAGGTTGTTATCGGCCTTGATCTTCTTGAAGCACTAATTGTTAGAGGCTTATGAGTCGTCCTCATCTGTATCTCCAAGTGAGATGGGCTTCAAGTTGTATATTTTGTTCTCTCAATCTTGCAACGTTTGTGCCTATTTGTTCATGCATGTTCTCTAGAGTTTATGTATTGTAAGAACCTCCATTTGGGGTTGTGTTCTTCATGTCTATTTTTTGGGTATGTGCCATGTTTATCAATGAATCCTATTGTTTTGCGAAAAACAAAAACAAACAAATCGGTTCAGTTCGGCTGATTTGATCGGTTTTCCGGTTTGATTGCCCAACCTAGTTACTAACCAATCATGAATAAGGAATTCTTCTATTTGATCAAAGAGTTTGGAATTAAGCTAGAGAGACAGCGCAACCCCTAACCAATCATGTACAATCAACTGGACATTTGTGATCATGGAATTCAAAATTGCTTCCCACTTATTATTGGAACGTGAGCATCAATCTAAAAGAAATTGGAAATGCGTTCAAAGTATAAGATCCTTTAAATCATTAAAACAAAGACTTTTCTTGTATGTTCAATGTGGAGTCTCAACCTGTCTCTTCACGACTGAGGTCACTCAAACCAAAAAGTAAACACATGGAGTGTGACGTTGGGCGCTACACGTGAAAACCAATGGTTTGGGCAAATACCTGGGGTTCGGTTGTGGTTGTGGTATGATACTCTCACCACTTACTGCCAATGAGATCGATCGATCATGGCTTTCTTCCACTAGAGGCATCTATCTATCACCACTAGTAATTACAAAAACCATAACTGATAATTTGACTTGGAATTTCTCATCGATTTCAAAAACATTACACTGAAGAAGATGCCAATCTCCAATTGTCTTGTTAAGCACGATGAGTTTTCTTGTCAAAGACTTTGACTGGAACAAAGCAGAAAGCGGGATACAAGGCCGATGCCACAACCAAACAAACAGCACAAAGGAAACACAGAACTCAAAGCATCTTCAACTAACCCCTCTACTTATTTTAATTTCGTATGTCATTCTCCGTTGTCGTTACATAAATGATGAGTGATGAAATCATGACGTTCATATTTTTGTCAATTTGCTCAATGGAGCTAATTAGTGGTGTTCAGATCCTCTTTTCATGTTTTTCCATGTCCCTCCTTGTCCCTCCATGTCCCTCCAGATCCTCTTAACCTTAACATAACACTGTTAGATTTTAATAAAATTAAAAATAATAAAAACTAATAATTCAAGAAAGTCAAAAGAGACCCAACTGCCACAAAACTCTCACCTACCAACTCATTTATATTTTCTTTGTTTTCTCTTTTTGGTGTGGAAAGGTTTGGTGCTGTGTATTTTTCTCGTGTTATTTTGGGTTGCTTTGGAGCCCAGCCCCAGGGTGGCTGTGAAGCCCGAAAGAGAAAACTACCAACCTAGCCCATGATATAAAACACTCCTGCTGCCTAACGTTTACAAATTAGGCTGCAGAGGAGAGGAGAGGAGAGGAGAGAGAGGAAATGAGCATAATTCTTCAAGCTAAAATTTGGCTTCAAATGTTATGAATGGTGGACTTGGACAAAATTACAGTGAAGATGTTTACGTAAAATTCCAGATAACCAATATTCCGTTGTCTTGTTAAGCATGACGATGATGAGTTCGGAAAAGACTTTGATTTCAAAACAGAGGCAGCAGCCTAAGGCCAGCAGCAAATTAACAACAACAACAACCGCAGAAAGCAAACACAAAAAAGACGCCACAATTATTGCTATTAACAACACGTACGATACGAGGAATGATGAGGGTGCTGCTGTATGTTAAGTAATGTTGTATGACTCAAAACTTTTGAGTTCGCTTCAGGGCTCTAAGCTTGACACCATTCTTGAAATCCAGAATAATCCCGAACTCAAATTCGAGAGGTTTCTCCATGTTAGGAGAGTGCCGGAACACGTACTTGCGGTATAAGTGAATCAGTGCCAGCTTTATTTCTTGCAGGGCAAATTTCTGACCAAGGCATGCCCGAGGCCCGATTCCGAAGGGTAAAAATGCGTAAGGATGCCTTTCTTTCTCTTCTTTGCAGTTTGGATCAAACCTCTCTGGCTTGAACTTGTTCGGCTCTGGGAAGTTTTTTGGATCTTTTGCTATCACTCCCACTCCAAACCACACCCAAGTCCCCTGCTCCTCCTCAAATACAACGTTACAAAACCCCAATCAATAATCCACGCAAGAACCAAAACAATACCTCCGATAGAATTAAGAATTAATGGAACAAAACAATACCTTCGGTAGAACATAACCTCCTATTTCTACTTCACTAGATGTTTCTCTTGCAATTAATGGCGAAACCGGATAAAGCCTCATTGACTCCTTAATAACCTGCGTTATTCAAGTGAATTGATAGCTGATAGGTGATAGGTGGTGGTGTTACAAGCAAAATAAGAGCAAGTGAATTGATTCAAGTTTCAGAAGCTTTACCTGATCAACATAAGGAAACTTGTTTTGCAGATCATGAGCTGTTGGCATCTGATCAGCTGGTCCAAATGCATCCAGCTCTGCAAGCAACTTCTTTTCAACTTCCGGGTATTGAGCAATCAAGTAAACAGTCGTAGACAACGTAAATGCTGTGGTGGCTGACCCGGCAACGAGATGCTCGTAAGTAAGTGCACTAATGTAGTCTGGTGTGAACACCTTCTTCGAAACCTTCTCTGACTCCCTTGCATTCAGTATGAGCGACAAGAAGTCCTTCGAACCTCGGTCACTGTCTTTCATTCTCTTCTCAACAATCTCATCAAGGCGGCCGCTCAGGTTGTCGTTAGTACGTTCAATTTTCCAGTCCATAGTGCCCGGAATTCGCTTCAAGATCTGCCTAAACGGCTCCTGGAGGATGGGGAAAAGTAGACCAAGTATGATTGATAAGGAACCTGTCAAGTCCATCTTAACCTGCGCTACGGAATATACGTATTGGTCGGTAAACTTTGAAACTGCATCATTCTTATTGTCATTGTTCTTGTCCTGGCCGCCTCCGTCAATCTTGTTGACTGAATCACTGTTGGATTGTGGTTTAGAAAGGCCAAAGTTGACACCGAAAGCAGCTTGTGCTATTGTATCAGTGGCCAATGCGAGGGAGATTTTGGAAAAGGTAACATCTTCTTCTTCTTTGGAGGGGTCAATGTTTCGAGTTGCAGTTTCAACGAAGGACTGCATTGTGGGCACAAGGCTAGCCAAGTGTGACGGCTGATACAAAGATACTAGAGTGTTTCGCATCGTGGACCATCTTGCATCCCTGCAGGAGGCTCAAATTCAATTCGGATGATCAGTCAAATAAATAAAAATGTATATATATACATATACAGATACATATATTATAGAAACACAAATATATACCTGGTGAAAAAGAGACCCTTCTGATGAAGAGGGCAAGCTTGTATGGGAGATGGCATGCTTCTGTTTGGAATGTCTTTGAATTTCTTGATGCCAACTTCTCTACAGAGCTCTGCATCTGCTACAATTACTAGTGGCTGTCTACCCATATGAAACCTGCTTGCCAGGATCAGATATGTACAATCAAAATAATCAAATTAGCATATACATATTCAAGTGGCATGACTAAAATGCTAACAGCCTCCACATCTAGCAAGCAACCATGCAGATAGATAGTCCGGAGAAACAGTGTAGACCAAATAATGAATAGCACTTGATCCCTTGAGACCATGAATTTGAAAAGAAAAACCCTTTGGGGCAAAGATTTTGGTTTGAAGCCAAGTGGCAAGGGAAAAAGTGGGTTTTTTTTTTTTTTAGTATAAGAGACAGTCTGAACTACAGGATATAGGGTTTTTCACACACACACATACAACTGATGTCATAGGGGTTTGAACCTCACAACTCTGATTTGCAAGTTAAGATCCTTTTTCATTGAGTTAGACTCTGTTGGCATCAGTTGTTTGTGTTAATTAGTTAGGCAAGATCTTTCACCCTTGTTGTCAAATTTCTTTGAGAAAAGTCAAAAGAAAAACTGGCAAATTTGCATAATCTACCTTAAGGAAAAAGAACAAAAAAAACTTCCCCATCCCCTTTTCACTGCCCCGCTCCCTTTATCTCCCTCCTCTTATCACCTATCAGACATGGAGAGATATAAAGAGAGGGGGTAATGAAATAGGCAAGCCTACAACTAGAAAACATATGAAAAGAAGATGGTTGCAAATGTAAAGTGGCTAAATAGGTACATCACCTGAAAATAGGGCCATACTTTTTGGCAAGAATTTGGAACAGATCAGGACCATACTTGGCCATTAAGGGAAGGTGCCCTACCAAGGGGATAACTGGTGGTCCGGGTACCTTTCTGACCCCCCAGTAGGGCCCATACAAGTAGCCCAAAACTCCAACCAACATCGCCAACACCGTGAAGATGGTCGGTGCTGATACCAGTGACACATTGGTAACAAGTTCCATGCTTATCATTTTCTCAAGGCTCTCTCTCTCCTTCAATCTATTACTATAGAATCGTGCTTCCCAAAAGACCAGAGCTCGGCTTGGTTTAATAGGCTGTTGATGGAATATTTGGGGCTCTCACTACTCACCAAAAGCATCTTCATGCATCGTCGCCATGTATATATGGTTCTTGTCGCCATGTACATTTTTTTATAAAAAAAACACCACGCATTTCAATTTGGTCCTTTTCAATTGTCATCCATAGTTATTTATATTCAAACCAACTCTTGTTTCTCAATTTGTTTCTTCTCAATTGCAATTAAATAAATTATTCTATTCGTGAAAATTGGTGACGGAATCACGGCGTTGATGTTTATGTTAATTTGCCAAAAAAATTACCCGGATGAAGCTAAGCTTATTAGGTTGATACGTAAGCGGCTTGCTTCTCCTTTGTGTTTTCACACTGGCTACTTTCCTTTTTATCTAAGAGTGACATTAAATTACAAACATGAACTTAGTCAAGTTCATTGGAGCCGATAAGCTCGGATTCCCCTCTTTATTATTTAAATTAAATTAAAGTATAATATCATTTGTATAAAAATAAAAAAGAGAGTGACATTAAATTATTCCATTATTATTTTTCTCTGGCATCATTAATTTATGAATTTAAATGTTTAAACTTAATCATGGGTTGCAAGCTTAGCTTTATTTTGGATTGGTAATGGAGCCCAGGCCCAGCCTAGCCCATCAAACCCAACAGAAAAACTGATGACCTACATGAATGAACAGCTTGTCGCCTGCAAATTAAGCATCGAAGAAGAAACAACAACAAAATCTAAACCATTTGACACGCGTATGAATTTAAGTACAAGGAAAGTATTAAGCACACCAGATATGATTAATTATTGTTTATTATTTGCTGGCTCCAACCTAAGTAAGCTTTTGTCTTCTTATCCCAATTATTTGCCTAGATTATTAGATACATAGATGGTAGTTTCTTGCCTTCTCTTTATTTGAGATGCTATGAGCAATCTTGAGATTCCTCTCTCTAATTGTATCTTCACATTTAGAGTATATTGGATATGTGACACTTCATCATGTACTTATATGGTATTGTATGTATATATCGTTTTCTCAGTTATAGTTAAATAAACGGAAATTTGCATAAATATCACTTGAACTTTTAGACATGTGCGCTATTATCACCTAAACTTTTAATTTTTATTTTTAACCACCTGAACTTTGTACAGTATTGTAATCCACCACTTACGTCTAATTCCGTTAAAATTTCCGTTAAGTTTAAGGCTATTTTCGCCAATTTACTATAACTAATAACTAAAAATAATTATAAAAACCAGAATTTTTATTTTTATTTGTTTAAAAAAAAAGTTCTGTCATTACGGGGTAATCCAAGAAAATTTTCAATTGCACCTTGACAATAAAAATATTACATGATGTAACCTCCTAAATGTTTTTCCCAGTTACAGAGTCCTGGAATAAGAAATCAGATAACCCCCGTTGCTTGCTTCTGTGCTAGGTAACCTACAAGCAAAACCGAAAAGTGGACAACTATACCCAATCAACTTCTACAGTGACCAATTCAAACTTACGAATATTTTGATATAATTGCAACTACAACCTCATTTTGTGTTAAATATCATCAGCAATTCCGAGGAACACACAGAACTGTCTTATTAGTTTTTTTTGGGTTTTTGGGTCAAAATTTATCTGATTTGTTATTAAAAAAAAACTGAAAGGTCTTTTAGTTCCACTTACTGGTGAGTAGTTGGTGACAGACTTGACACCTCCAGTTCCACCAAGAGTAGCTTTATGGAGGTTATCCTCAACATACAAGTTCCACCAGGAGTTGCCCTGCCTTATCAGATACATAAAACAGTCACAACACTAAGAGCACTTCCAGCGGACAGCCTAGCTCTGGCAAAAGGCTGTTCAAGTCAAGAAATACAGCTCCAGCCGTACAAAACAGCCCAGGCAAGGCATGGGCTCCACCAAGCCTTGGCTGCTTGGCAAAAGGCTGCTTAGGTCAAGAAATACAGCTCCAGCGGTACAAAACAACCCAGGCAAGGCGTAGGCTCCACGAAGCCCTAGCAAGTCCGAAGGCAAGAACAGCCTAAGCTGTTGTCTGAGGACTGTGACGTCAATGATGACACCAGCAACCAAAAAAAAATTTAAAAAAAATCTGAAAAAAAATCAAAAATTTCAGATTTTTTTTTATAAATACCTACTCATATTCTTCACTTCCCACACCAAAAACTCTATACAAATTCATTTTCTCATATCTCATGTGAATAGTTGTTGCCTTTGGATTGCCATGGCAATAGGTGAAAAAACAATAACAAAATTACTAAAGCTAGCACTATTTATATGAATAGTAACAATATTTGCCTCTCTTTACCTTTTGCCATGATAAATGGATGGAAATGTTCTAAATACTTTGATCATGAATATTGTGCATGCAATTCAAACAAAACAGAACAAATTAGCCCAACTTCATCATATTTGCTGACACTATCTAGTTTAATCTCCTTAACTCACCTTGTGATCATTTCCAACCGGATAAGCAAATATTAGGATTGTATATTCTTTGGCCGGCCCCATGCCAAAAACATATATAACTATATGATATAATTAGGAATTGCAGAACCTGGCTCTTATTGCATACCTAGTGTAGAGTGACTAGCATTCAAATTTGCAATGGGATTGTTTGGATTCGCATGAGGGTGGGGGGAGAATTGGCGTTGGAAAAGGATAGGGGTAGGTTAACTTTTATTTTTTTTTAAATTATGTTTTTAAAATTATGTTTAGTTATTGTGAATTGACGGAGATGCCCTTAAGTTTAACCGAAATTTTAACGAAGTTGGACATAATTGGTGAATTGCAACACTTTACAAAGTTCAGGTGGTTAAAATTTAAGGTGGTTATGACGCATATGCCTCAAAGTTTAGATGACATTTATGCAAATTTTTCTTAAATAAATTATTCTATTTGTGAAAGTTGTGACGAAATAATGGAGTGATGCTTATGTTAATTTGCGGAAATGAACCCAACGGAACTAATCATGTTCCGTAATAAGTGCTTGCTTCTCTTTTGTATTTTGACATCGGTATCGGTTACTTTGAACTTGCAAATAATCAAGCCTAAAACATATACCAAGTTTATTTTCTTGTTAATGAACAGACTTGTAGAACACGACATTTTCTTCTTTTAAGTGGGACGAGGTTAGACTTCCCACTGATGCTTGTGGGCTAGAAATGGATTGGGCAAATTATCATTTTCACATGAAGGGCTGGATAACCTTGTCTTGCCAAACTGACCAACCCACTATTCCGTTGCCATGTGGCTTCAACCCAAAATCTTTGCCCAAAAAGGTTTCCTTTTCAAATTCATCGTCTTAAGTGCTATTATTTGTGACATGTTTTATGGCTATAGCGGTTCATGTGGACTCTCTTAGATTGTGGGAAAATTACTCTTTGCATCATTTTTCTTTCTCTTTTTAATGTGGTTAAGAGGGGTGTTAGTTAAACATTTGATCGAGTAATTTACTCATATTGTTTTGATTTTTGAGTAATGCTAAGATCAGTCGTTTACGCGTGTGTAACATGACACTTAATTATTTAATTGTGCTTGTAGGGAAGTTGTAATGTATTATTATGAAGTGTTGGCATATCTATCAGTTGAAGTTATTAAATTCCATTGGCTGATCTTTAGCTCTTGAAGAGAATTCCTGGCACTATTGACTACAAAGTTGAATGTAATAACATAAGCTGAGTGGCCAGCTTGATCAGTCGTTGAAAAAGAGAAGGAAAGAATGTGACAGAGAGGCCAAGGACTTCGGGCCAAAGGTATTGTTCTTGTTCTACAAATGAAGTTATAGCAGACGATCCAAAGAACTTCCCAGAGCCAAAAAAGTTCAAGCCAGAGAGGTTTGATTGAAATTGCGAAGATGAGAAACGAAGGCATCCTTATGATTTTTTACTCTTTGGCATCAGACCTCGAGCATGCATCGGCCAGAAATTTGCCCTCCAAGAGCTAAAGCTCTCACTGATTGACTATACCGGAGACATGTTTTCTGGCACTCTGCTAACACGGGGAAACCTCTGCAACTTGACTGTGGCTTTATTCTCAGTTTCAAGCATGATGTCAAGCTTAGAGTCATAAAGCGGACATGATCATGATTCATGCACTGAACATTAGTCTTCAACATGCCTTGTTGGGATAGACGTACGTATGCTGAAAGAATAAATCCTTGTCTGTGTGGAGGATAAAACATATTCCTGGTATATAAGCACATGATTAATTTAGGCACCACCGATCCTATATGCTTCAGCTGCAAAGACAAAATTAGAGAGAGAGGAATTTCAACATTTACTGGTGGCATTGCAAAGAAAGAGATTCCCATCTATCCATCCAAGACAAAGTAGTCAAGAAGGTAAGTAAGTAACAGCCACATAAAGATAGAATATTACCCACATAAAAAGCTCATATTCAATTCATTTGTTTGGTTAACAAAGAAGATAGAACTTTTGGTGTAAGTGTTAAGTTTGATTGTTTATTAGTTCAGATAAAACGTTAACATCATTATCCCGTTACGTGGAGCGACAAATGTCTAATGCTTGCTCTTCTCTTCGTGCAAACAATAACATGTTTGACCAAGTTTCCTCCCTCTCTTTTTGCTTCCTGATCTACCATTAGGTGTTGCGGCACTAACATAATAGAGCCATCGGTTTGCAGGAAATACGCCCCCAAAAGCACAGTTGGGTTGGGGCCTAACAAGATTTTCCGTAGAGTAGGCGTGATCTTTGATGATCGTTTTGTTCCATCACGCATGTTTTTATCTTTTTGACCTAGAGAAGAAGCGAATGTGGTGTTGTCTGATTGGAGAACTTGGTGAAAGAATGCTATGCTAATGCTTAAACAACGCCATGATTTCGTCACCAGCTAGGATATATATAAAATATGATAAAAGTACAAAATATGGACCAATGGCACCCAAATTTTCACCAGTAAAATCATTTAAAAAGCGACAAAGGAGCAAAGTACACTTCATCCAGATGCTGCTCAGTGACTAGTGAGAGCTCCACTTATTCCATCCCCAGCCTATTAAACCACCCTAAAGCTTTGCTCTTTGATCAAGTATCAAGTAGAGAGAGACACACACGGAGCTCTCTGTCTCTCAGACAATGGGTGTTTTGGAAGTCATGTTGTTTACCAATGTTTCTCTGCTATCAACTATCTTCACAGTGTTGGCAATACTGGCAGGAGTTTTAGGGTACTTGTATGGGCCCTACTGGGGGGTGAGGGGGGTACCTAGCCCACCAACTATCCCCTTGGTAGGGCACCTTCCCTTGCTGGCAAAGTATGGTCCTGATGTATTCTCAGTTCTTGCCAAACAGTATGGCCCTATTTTCAGGTTAGTTTATTAATTTGTGTATGTAGTAAGTTGAGCAAACCTTTTTTTGGGACCAAATATTTAGGCTTTCTAGGTGGATGAGAAAAAGACATAAAATTTTACTCAAATGAACTTTCATCCTTCTTCTTTTTTTTCCTTGTTCTCAAATGAGTTTTATCTAGAATTTTCCTCAGTTAATCATCTGAGACTTACTTAGACTACCCTCACAGAGCACAAAGATTATGCTTATCTCAGAAATATGTGTAGGCTAGGGTTAGATACAACTTACAAGGAACAAGCTGAGACTTCCCTCCCACTGCTGCATTGTGGGTTAGAAATTGGCCATAAGTAACATTACCACATGAAGGACTGGCTGAATTTGCCCTGCCAAATTGACTAACCCACTTTCCTTTACCACGTGGCTTCAGCCCAAGAAGGTTTCTTTTCAAATTCATGGTCTTAAGGTCAAATGCTATGTTAACTGAATAATCAGCAAAGGTAGCATCTGTTCTGTTTTGTGCATTTCTTTTTCATGGTCTTGGCCACAAAGCTGATAGATTGTGGAAAAATATACTCTTTCCTTCCTTCTTTTTTTCTTTTGTTTTCTTTTTTATATTTAAATTTTAGGAGGGTTGGAGGGTGTTAATCACATAACAAACTCTATGTCTCATGTCATCACGTTTATTTTGTTTGATTACATATTTTGGGCAGGTTTCATATGGGCAGGCAGCCACTTATAATTGTAGCAGATGCAGAGCTTTGTAGAGAAGTTGGAATTAAGAAGTTCAAAGACATTCAAAACAGAAGCATCCCATCTCCCATCTCAGCTTCCCCTCTTCATCAGAAAGGTCTCTTTTTCACCAGGTATCGTAAATTTGTAATTGTATTATTTTGAAAGTGTAAAATATCAGTTGAAGTTATTATAAATTTATGGAGTGATCTGATGGAATTTGAGCATCCTGCAGGGATGCAAGATGGTCTGCCATGCGAAACACTATATTATCAGTGTATCAACCATCACACCTAGCCAGCCTTGTGCCTACCATGCAGTCCTTCATTGAATCTGCTACTGAAAAACTTGACTCCTCCAAAGAAGAAGATATTACCTTTTCCAATCTCTCCCTCAGATTGACCACAGATGTGATAGGACAAGCTGCCTTTGGTGTCAACTTTGGCCTTTCTAAACCACAATCCATCAGTGATTCAATCAACAAGCAGATTGGTGGTTCCCAAGACATTAACAATGATGAAGTCTCAGACTTTATCAACCAACACATATATTCCACAACACAGCTTAAGATGGACTTATCAGGCTCCTTATCAATCATACTGGGACTACTTGTACCTATTCTCCAGGAGCCATTCAGGCAAATCTTGAAGAGAATTCCTGGCACTATGGACTGGAAAGTTGAACATACTAACCGGAAATTAAGCGGCCGGCTTGATGAGATTGTAGGGAAGAAAATGAGAGACAGGGAAAGAGGTTCAAAGGACTTCTTGTCACTCATAATGAATGCAAGGGAGTCAGAGACAGTTTCAAAGAATGTCTTCACCCCAGACTACATTAGTGCTGTTACTTATGAGCATCTCCTTGCTGGGTCAGCCACAACAGCATTTACGTTGTCTTCAATTGTTTACTTGGTTGCTGGACACCCAGAAGTTGAAGAAAAGTTGCTTGCAGAGATTGATGGATTTGGACCTCCTGATCAGATGCCAACTGCTCATGATCTTCAACACAAATTTCCTTATATTGATCAGGCAAGTCTTCTGAAAGTCCAACAAATGTTCAAATTGCAAAATGTCTCTCTGTATCTGACATGAAAATTGAGTTTGATTTATCTTTTGCCTGTTTGCATGCAGGTTATCAAAGAGGCAATGAGGTTTTACATGGTTTCCCCATTAGTTGCAAGAGAAACATCTAGACAAGTCGAAATAGGAGGTTATCTTCTACCGAAGGTATTGTTCTACTTACACAAATTAATATCATCTCTTTGTACAACTACTTTTCCTCTGTGGATACTGGAAATGGTTTGTATATGAATTGTCTTATGGGAGTAGTTCATTTTTGTTTGTGAGAGGAGCAGGGGACTTGGGTTTGGTTAGCACTTGGAGTTTTAGCAAAAGATCCAAAGAACTTCCCAGAGCCAGACAAGTTCAGGCCAGAGAGGTTTGATCCCAGCTGCAAAGAAGTGAAACAAAGGCATCCTTATGCTTTTATACCCTTCGGGATCGGACCTCGATCCTGCATTGGTCAAAAGTTTTCCCTGCAAGAACTAAAGCTCTCACTCATTCACTTATACCGGAACTATGTGTTCCGGCACTCTCCCGGAATGGAGAAACCTCTACAACTTGAGTATGGCATTGTCCTCAACTTCAAGAATGGTGTCAAGCTTAGAGTCATAAAGCGAACTTAACTTCAACATGCCTGATCAAACTTTGCCAACCATACTACTCATCAAACACGAAACAAGACAACTGGAGCTCGGTTGTACGAAAATTTATATATTTAAACATATTCTTCACTGTAATGTTGTTGAAATCATTCATAATTTTGACACCAAATTTTCAGTTTCGGGTTAATTTAACAGATCATTGCTAGTGATGGTTGGTTCCAAATGCAAGAAAGCTAGAGATGAATTCCACGATCGATCTCATAGAAAATAAGTAGGAAGCAGTCTTCAATTCCTCTGTCTCCTCTGTAGCCTTGTTTGTACCTTTTTTATGTCAACTGGCAATTTCACATGGCTCATTATTTGCTTGTTTTAACTCATTTGTCTTGACGGATGAGAATCTGTTTCTTTGCAATGTTGAGAATCGTTTTTATCTACTCGTCTTCATGTGCCTATACAGTGCACGTCGCCTAGGAATATGTTTTATCCTCCATGCACATTACATTATACACACAAGGATAGTGACTCTCTCTCTCTCTCTCTCTCTCTCTCTCTCTATATATATATATATATATATATATATTTTTTTTTTATTTTTTATTTTTATTTTTTTTTTAATTTTTTTTTCTATCCGATCAAAACTACATGAGAAGACAAATTTATCTTCTTCTATCAAAACCAACCAACCCTTGCGTTAATTGTTTTCTGTTATTTTGGGTTGATATGAGCTCGGACTCAGGCCCCATCAAGCCCAAGATAAATAAATGAAAAAGAGCTAGGCCATTAGATTTGAGTTAAGAATCCACACTTCGGGCCCACAGTCGAAAAGAACCGTCATCAGCTGGAAACTGTTGTGTGTCAACGAGATCTAATCCAGTGAAAAAGGACCCTTACTTGCAAACCAGTAACCCTCAGTTCAAACCACCATAACATCTTGACAATGTGCGTGAGAAAACCCCCCTCCCCCCTTCCTAACTTTGACCAACAAAAAAATCTAAATGCTTTGTGTAATATACGTTTCTTCAAAAATTTAATGTTGTGGATGGTGTTCTTAAACATAAAAACACCAGGGTTTTAGCCTCCTCTGCAAGCCCCTTGTTTTCAAGTATATCTGTATCTGTATCTGCATTGCATGGAAATAGATTTATGCATCAAAGGAAGAGTGACAGTTTCAGCTAAAAGAACAGCTAGCTACACAGCAGCCCTGAACAAGACATGTACAATCAACTGTTTTTACATTTACATAATTTCAGGTGGCGAGAAGTTTCTTCAACATTGGCAAGCAGAAATTCTTAAACGCAGTGGATCTGCAGCACTCAATGAAAGGCATTTGCTGACCAATAACCACTTTCTCATCTTTTGTAGAGAAACTAACTTCATGCACTCCAGGTCTCCAATAGTAGCATACAAGAAAACTGACTTAACTGCTAAGTGCTAAATATACAAACTTGAATGAACAAATGTATACTGGGTACAGCAATCTGAAGCTATATCAGAAGTATAAAGTTCAAGGAACGGAACCCCTCAAAGGTATCCATCGGCCGGTCCACCTGCAAAGCATCAAAGAAGAAACAGCAAATCAAAACCACTGACACAACTTTGAAAGTGCCAAGAAAATACTAAACACACTAGATATGAATAATTATTAAAGGATACTGAAAAAACAGCTACTACATCGTTGGCCCCTTTGCAACTTTGACCATCCCCCATGCTGCATCACAAATCATATATTATTATCACTCACAACAAATAAAACACACATACAAATAATTAATAGAACCGAAGTTCTTAAATCATATACCAATATAAGGATTAAAGATAGGAATGGGGTTGCAGGGACCAACTCAGCACACAACCACTTCATCATCACAGACATTTTCTTATCATCAAGGCTTGGACCTGATTAGATAACCCATTTGATCAACAAGTTCTTGCAAGTCCTCACCCCAATCTGCTGGCTCTGCAACCAAATCCTCCACCGCGACATCGATATCTGATTCATCGCCCACCACAATAACGTCTTCCTCCGGATTGCCACCAATGAGCTCATCGCTCCACAGCTCCTCCCATGTAGTCTCATTAACAATGCCTAAGTTGCCACCAACTGAACTTGAATGAGGGTCTATGATATCACTGCTTGATTCATTATCCAATGCAGCAGCTGAGATAAAGGTCTCAATCTCCGATCCCATAGTTTCCAACTCTCCCTGATCTTGGCTTGCTGAGTAGTCCACAACATGGGTTTTAGGTTTTTCTTGCAGATTCTCCACACTGGGGCTAGCTGCTAGTCTCCGCTTTCGACCAATTTCCATACCACGCAACTCTTTATTCTGAGCCTTCTTCTCAAGAAGGTTTTGGATAAAAGATGGGCTATTGAGTGCTTTAGCAAGGAAGGCCATAATCTGCTGTTGTTTTTTCTCTGTGGTCTGCAACCGACCCTCCATTGCCATGACTTGTTCTTTTGAATTTTGTTGTTGCTGCCTCAGCCTCACTATTTCAGTCATTAAAACATTTCGGTCTCTCTTCAATCTTTCAAGCTCAGTCTCCAGTCCATACTGGCCCAGTTCAACACAAGCTCCTCCTCCACCTTCTTGTTGCATACTCTGTGACACATGCCTCCTCCTCTTGATGGTCTTCAGTAAATGCCTCTGTCCTCCCAGAAACCCTTCGTTTGCAAATTCCCATCGGTCAGGATCAACCTTTCTAAAACCCTGCATGCAATCAGTTTATGAGCAAGCATTGAAATTTACTAAACAAGTATGTAATTAGCAAACCCTACTGAGGAGCAATGAAATCAAATCATGATTCATGACCATCACAAGAAAGGGAATTGCTTTTAAAAGAAATTCAAAGAGAGCATCGAAACTAGTTAACAGAGTTGCAGAAAGAAAAAAAAAAGCATGACAACCAATAATTGAAATTCTTACAGAACCAAAAATGTTAACAGTAATTAGCAAGCAACCGACTTTATTATTAGTTGATTTCTCAAATTTTTCATGTCAGCCCACAAACTAAAAGGGAACTGCAAAAAAGAAAAATGTAGAATTCTGCATTCAATATGAAGACGATGCAATAAAGTTCATGTTTTTTGAGGATCACTTACATATGTATTAAGCTGACGAATGAAGCTGGAGAAGTTGCCGTGCTTGAAGTAGCGAGGAAGAAGAGTGGTGGAGAACTTATGAGAGTCCCAAACAACGAAGCTGTTGCGAGCTCTGCTCCAGGAGACAATCGCGTCTGTAGAAGGGTCCTCCACCATTTCAAAGGTCTTTGTGAGAAAAGGGGGAGGGCCCACTTCGTGTAAGCCCTCAATTGGCTGAGGTGAGATGCTTGAAGAAGAAGAGGATGATGAACCAACAGTGCATGTCACAATCTCTTCCTCTTTCACCACCACTCCATCCATGGTATTGCTCTGTTTCTCGCGCACCCCCAATTCGTGCTCTCACTTTCAAAGTGAGGATCTTTTACATTCCCAGAGAGTTGCAAGAATTGGGTTTTGGAATTGGACGCAATCTAACGGAATTTAGTTGATCAATTTGAGCTTTGAGTGAAATTTGAGAGCTTTGAGATCTTGTGTGGAGTGCCTTTTGTAATGCGGAGGAGAGAGAAGATGTATATTTAAGGCGGTGGAAAGGAAAGTTCTAGAGAGATGAGGGGAGGGGATGGTGTCTCTCAAATTTGTAAGTAGTTTCTTCCCCTTGTCAATGTAATAAGATCGCACAACAAATAGCAAACACCTCAAAAGCTCTAGAACCTTCTCAACGTTTTGGGCCATATGAAGAACACGAGCCCAATAGCTGATATGCCACTTTTTATTATGCTCAATTATGCTCAAAATCAATTATTTATTAATTTGTTCAACAAAAAAAATATATCAACTAATAATTTTTTAAGTTTTAAACCAACAAATTTGAGATATTTTATTATTTTATGCATAAACCAACAAGAGAGTCCACATCTGCATTAATTATCAGAAAAAAAAAATTGCAATACATGAGGAGACGTCTTTTGTTCTATAAATGGAACAAACTAGAAAGTTGGTTTTGGATATTGGAATATGCTTAGTTTCCGTCTCTCTCACCCAAAACAGGAAGGGAACATATGCGGGCCCACCATTTTGTCTATTTAAATTAGTGGGCTGCCGTATTGGGTTCATCACTGATAACATCAATTTTTAAGCGTTTTGAGATTTGGGCTTTCATAAGGAGAAAAGGTTTGGGCTTTGGGTGTGCTCTACGATAATTTTGACTCGACCCAATCCTATTTTAATTGGTTTCAATGATAAGGGTGTGGTCCGAAAAATAAATGATGATTTTCTGTGGAGTATTGAGTTGGATACCTAAGTTCCGAAACCGATATGATATCGCGTATTAAACTATTCTTTGTTTTTCTAATTGTAACTGGTCATCCCAATTTAATTTACATTAATAAAATTAGGCGGATGGAATTGGATTGAAAAATTCACAAATCAATCCTGTAGTAGATTGACTAAATATTAACGGTTTTGAATTGATCCGTACTGAATTCGAACACATTATATATTAATAATAATATTACAAATAGTTTATTACATGAGAATAAGGGGATGAACTGTGAAAATGAAGGAATGACGACGGATGGTTGAAGACTTTAGACTTGTGTGAAGACAAATCCGAAAGAGATAATATAAACAATGACCAACAGATCACGTGCGCATAAGGACTAAGTTTAAGAAGGATGACGTATGAAACTTGCAGTTTTCCAAGTTCCAACCTTGGATTATTTATTTATTTACTTACTCTATTAAATATAATTTATATTATTTATTAATTGAATGAATTATATACCGCTAATAGTGATTGTTAGCAGCATCATCATTAACAACAATACGAAGCAAAACCAACCAAGCATTACGTATTTTATTCGTTAAGAAGACGAGCCCTCCCTTTCTCTCCTTGGCTTGGAGAGCCCCTACCACCAATAGTGTCAACTTGTCACACCCAACACTGTTTTTTTTTGTTCTCTTTCTTTTTAAAATACAAATGATAGTTTAATACAAAGAATGGGAGTTTCTTATACACACTATTAAGGTGTTATGCGGGTTCGAATATGAGATTACCAGTATGCAAGTCAAGGTCCGTTTTTATTGAGCTAGACTCGTTGTCTCCAACACTACTGTTAAATAATATATATATGTGTGTGTGAGGAATCTAAAATCACTAGTTTACAAATCAAGGCCCGTTTTTATTAAAATAGACCCGCTGGCACCAACACTGTTAAGTAATATATATGTGAGGGGAGGGGAGAGATGGGTGTCGTCATGGCTTTTCTAATAACACACCAAGGCAGGCAAGATAGAGAAGAAGAGGGTGACCTCATTTTGTTGTCCACTATTAGTAATAATCTACACGATTTCTGGGTCCCCCCTCCAACTATGTATGCTTGCTTTTCTTTACTTTTTAACTTTCCTCCTAATAAACAAACGCTTTGGTTCATACTTAAATAAAGGGTCGGCAGCAAACCTGTGTTTTAAAATATACGTTCCTTTCATCTTTTTATATCAAATAGTTATTTGTTCCAAGCTTTTTTTTCTACATATACACAAAACGTCAAAGTTCTCAGTGGTTTGGGTTTTAAATTACCCGTCAAATCATTTAGGATTTAGAGTTATTTCTTACCCTCCGTCCATTCTTCAATCCGGCACAAGTTTCTGTAATTTTTTTATTCACTTAATTATGATTCAATATGTATAATATTATTATAGTAGCTGTCAAGTTAAATTAAAGTATGACGGGACAAGTATAGGATCTTCTTTTTTGTGATTTGAAAGAAAAAACAGTGTGATTCAGTGGACCGAAGCTATCAGATCCGTTTGGTTTAAGATTTACAAGTTTATGAATAAGTATGAAATTGCATTTACATGTTTGAAAAGTTCATTTCACAAACTAAACAGATCCTTAATTAAATACTTTTCTGCATATAGATGTCTATCTCTCATCCAGGGGCGGGCATTGAGGGTGTGCAAGTGGTGCCACCGCACAGGGCTCTTAATTTTGAAGGGCTCTAAAAAAATTTATGTGTATATTATGTTTATTAATATTATATATATATACATGAGTGGACAAGAAAGTAAGACAAGTGTATATTTAGTTGAGTTTGAATTCATCCCCTTAATTCTAGTAGGCAAGTTGGGTCCGAGTCCATATTGTGTCATTCAGAATATTATGCGGGCAAAGCATGCATAGCTAGCTATTATTATGGATCCACATGTGAAAGACATAAGTCGATAAGGTGGAAAATGGATGCCATTAGTCAGCATTTTGATAATCACAGTGTTTGCCTCTTTGAGCTGATGAACAAGTAGCCATGATGATGGGACCCAAGTAAACACCTCAAATAATATAAAGAATTGGTAGTTTAAATTGCACCTAAAATAAATAAATTCTGCATGTAATGAATGAATAAAAAGAGAGAAAATTGAAATGGAAGGAAGCTTTGCCAATTGAATTGCAGCTTTGGCTTTAGCTCAGCCCTGCCATCCATAGCAGTTTTTGCCGGCTCTGCAGCATCAACCTGTACTGAAAACTTTTATTTATTTTGAGACACATTGGAGGGAGACAATCGAAGTGTCTTTCTCCTCTCTCTGGGTCCTCCCTCTGGCAAATGGATTTAAGATTTGGTGCATTATTAATTCCACATTTAATTTTAAAGAGGTGGATGATCATTTCAGCTACCTCTCAAGTCAGAAATGCTGACGCTGAACATGACGACTTGTTATATATGGGAGGATATGGCTTTTCAGATTTGACCTCCAGCATGGGCGACCAGGAGCGCCACACTCTTCCAATATCAAAAAGCAGCAATTCATCTTAATTTCTCTGGTCCACGACGCTTCGTTTCATTTCCATTGCTTCCTTTTCATTTGTGATTTGTTCACAAGTTTCAAACAAGCAAGCGTGGATTTTTGGTAAACAAGATAAGATGAAGTATCATTACTCTGCTTTATCTATATCATTACTCTCTTTTATCCATATCTCTCAACACAATGTCATTTATCAAAATCTCTCGTCGCGTCGTCGTCGTTTATCAAAAGAGGAGAGATAGAAAATATAAGGTACTTAAATGAAATATACAAGTATTTTGCTAATGAGGACAACGAATGCATATTTATTTCACACCAATATCTTTATAAATATTGCTTCATTTATATATTAAAGAAAAGTTAGGTTTAGGCCCTTTTCCACTCATCACTTATAAAATATTTAAATCATGAGGGATCTTCTGTGTCACGATCAGAAAAAATACATTTTTGTGAGGGATAATTTTAAATTTGACATGTAGCCATTTTGTAAGATTAGGGTGTGTTGACTTTGAAAAAGGCAAACTGAATACTTGGGGAAGATATATGGAATGGAGTACACTAATGGGTAAATATCTGGACAGGTTTCAAAATCTTATTGCCAATTAATGCGTGCTAGTCGCATCACGAAAATTACCCTTTGTATCTTCAAATAGAAGTTATGTTTTTCACTTTTTGCGGCCAAAAAAGTTGGATTTGGACCACCCCATCAACTCATTCTAGTTCCCAAATTAAGACATGTTCCTTCTTAATTAGGTTACAATTGGAATATATATTTTAAATACCAAAATAAGTTTACTAATGCGATAATGATCATATCAAAGAAAGGAAGTTTAAGCCAATGAGATTTAATCCATTAGAAAAGACATTGACTTGTAAATCAGTGGTCTCTAATTCGAACTCTCATGACACATTTGTAGTGCGTGTGTGATAAAACATCATCCTCTTTGTAGTTAGACAATTGCTTGTGTTAAATATATAAAAAACTTAAAGAGTCCAAAACATAAATATATCAAATACAAAATTGTATATAGCTCTAATTATAGAGTATATACCTACACTCACTCTCCTCCTTCTTTGTTAGAACCCCTTGTTCAACCTTTACCCAGTGTACAGAGAGAATATACTTTCTATTACTCAAACAATACAATACAATCAACATATTATCTAATACTGATTAACCACCTGATATAGTCGATTAGTTAACAAACCAATTATCCAACATACTAATCTCTTAACATAACTAATCATACGATGACAGCTGGTCATATTGTAAATAACTAAAGAGCCCTTAGGATCCTATCATTCTCAAATAAACCAAGTTTATGTCTAAGGTCGAAGGGTGGATGCACAAAATACCCCCTCACAACCCCAAATTTTGGCTATGCCTATGTATAAAGTTGACTCAAAAAAACATACTTAAATAAATCTAATTCGTTTAAGAATCACACACCACATATATATACTTCTCTTAATCACATGCTTTAAATTTAGTATCTTGAAATTCATAGGCAAACCCACCCTATTAGGAGATGGTCAATCGTGGGTTTGCATCCTTTGTTAGATGCTGATGTGGTGCATTATTTATAAGCTTACATGCAGCCCCTGGTTTTAATTTTAAAGAAATAAAAAACAAGAAGGGGAAGAAAAGAGAAGAGAATCTCTCTCTCTCTCTAAGTATGAGCTTGTAAATTGTGTAAAGGCAAAAAGAGTGGGCCGTTCCAACGTGTGATGCAATCCCCTTCAACTCATATCTTAAACAACCACACGATATATGGCAGACACCATATTTACCACCATCAACGGTGCAACTTTCACAAAATTCCCAAGACTCAATTTCATTAATCATGGTGGGTCCCTCAACCCCACACACACAACAGAGGTCACCTCCGCATTAGCATATCGACAACCCACGTGGTGCTCTGCCATTGGTGTACCCATACAGACCCAAAAGTAGGCTGGGCCACGCCATCTAATCTCCCCCAAGCCCACTGCCTCCTCCTCCATGCCTGAGGGAAAGTAAAAGACAACGCCACGTGTCTGCAGGGGAACGTCACGATGACGAGGAAAGTGTGATTTAGCTCCGATGATTATGTCATGGGGAGGAGGGGAGCGGGACCCAGCACCACCCAAGCACACATATTTGTCCACGTCAGCTGACCCTGCTTTTTACCACACTGGGGCTCTGGGGTGGAGCGAGAGAGGGCTTCTTTAGCTTTTTGTTACGTCAAGGTTCAATCTTACCGTTCCACGTCGAAGTCAATCTGACGTCATCCTCATTTACTACGATGACTATCTCCTCTCTCTCTCTCTCTCTCTCACCCCCCCATGTGACCGCTCCCAAGCTAATCACCGGCAAATATCCAGTATTTCCGAGCTACCGTATTATTTTCTTAATGCATACCCACCACCCACGCGCTCGCTTAGCTCGTGTACCTCCATCTTCCAATCATTCATTCATCTACCTCTATTTTGTTTATTTCTTTTAGTTTTGAAGCATTTTCGAGATGTGAGTACCAAAACCCTACTAATGAGATGCTAGTAGTTTTAATCGTTTTCTCATGCAAGATTGTATCAACTCTAAAGATCCGTCATTCTAAAATTATAATTAATTTATTATCATAAATATTCACTTGTAGCATACAATATCTCAATAAATTAGTGTAATTTTTCGACCGCCATACCACATTAGGACATTAGATTTCACTTTTAAAAAACCAAAGCAATTATTAAGTTGAAAAACTTAATAAAAAAGCCTGGCGCGTGGGTATAGAAATGTTCACAAACCTTCGATCCAAAAGAACCTATGTATACACACAGCACATAGTGATGTAAGCAAACGCACCCCGTCCTCTCGCTCTTCTCCTTTATATTTATAAAAACCCCCCCTTCTCTCAAACCCACCACTTACCTTCCACCTCAATTCTTTCCCCTTTGTCTTTGCGTTTGCTCTTGCCCTCCGTTGACATCATTTCACCACACCTCTCTCTCTCTCTCTTATAACTCTTCTTCACCACTTTTAGTCTTTACTCTGGTTCTTCCGGCAGCGATGCAAGGCTTACGCCGTTGCTCAAACGACATCGTCCCCCTCGGCCTCTCCCCAGCGCCGACCCCGCCCTCCCCACCCGGCCCTCCCTCCAACAACCCCTCCTCCCTCTCCATCGACGTCGCTGAGTCCGCCGAGACCCGCATCCGCCGCCTCATCTCCGAGCACCCCGTCATAATCTTCAGCCGCACCTCCTGCTGCATGTGCCACGTCATGAAGAAGCTCCTTGCCACGATTGGGGTCCACCCCACCGTCATCGAATTGGACGATGACGAGATCGCCGCCCTCCCCTCCTCCTCGGACGACAACAACAACGAAGAACAGCAACAACCTTGTAATACTCCGCCCGCCGTTTTCATTGGCGGCACGTGCGTCGGTGGGCTCGAATCTCTCGTCGCCCTCCACCTCAGCGGCCACCTGGTCCCCAAACTGGTCCAAGTCGGTGCCCTCTGGGTATGATTTGAGAGTACATACAAAATCAAAATCTCTATCTCCATCAATCTATATTTATAATTATATATTAATTGTAATTTTTGGTCTCATGAATATTATGGGCTGCTTATTATTAATTAGTATTGTTCTGAAATTAAATTAGGGAAAAAAATAGCGAGTTTGTTTGGGTGGAGATGTAGTGTACTGAAATACTCGCGCTTTCAGTGTCGTATACGGGACATGTTTGCTCAATTACGTACATCGATCGCTTCTGATCCACGTCCAGCGACTTCGATCTAGATTCTACACAGTCTTGCTCAGTCTGAAGTAAAATGGGCCCCACACCCCCTGATGATGATACTATTATAGCAATTATTGGACCATCAGGAGCTTCAGGACCGTCCGATGTGTGGACTTCCTGGGAGGTAGACCGTAGGTAGCTCTAGCTCTAGCTCTCTCTCTCTCTCTCTCTCTCTCTCTCTCTCTCCTGGGTTCTGGTAGTGGCAATGGAATGTGATGTATATTTTGTCCTATTTTAATATATGGATTGTAAATTTACCCCCTTTTTAATTTAAGGGAAAAATATATATGTTATTTGTAGTAATTTTGATATAAATGGGTAGGACGATGAGTACTGGGGTGGGTCCTTGTTGCAATTATTGATCAATCAAGGCCGTTGAAATTTCAGTGTATTCTTTGATTCCCAAGTAAACAACAATTTGTACTGTAGTAGTGACTGGTCGTCGTAGTATTAGTACTTGTTAAATATCTTTTGATTCTTCCTTTTGGCCATCAATATCAAAATCTTGGCTAAGCATAGCTTTAGGGTTCTCGGTGAAAATGACAAAGCTTCCAATATTTGCTTTGCTGTCAGATATTCCTAAATTAGGAAAATGCTAGACGTATCACATTTGTATATGTATCACCTCTCGTCTTCCTAATAGAGTTTGACTTGGGGCATCTATATTAGAGAAATGGTACACAATATGATTTTCTAAACTAATTTTTTTTTTATATATCAAAAAATAAAATAAAATAGAAAATAACAGCTTGACCATTATGGACTTAGGTGATTTATTATTTATAAGCGTGACAAATAGATTCACCTGAAAATCGAAGGCAAAGACAGATGCAAATTTGTCACCACCATGCATGAGACAGTTTTCAATTCGATGTGTCATGGTGTGGAATGCCTCTTCAACAACCCCGGACAACACATACTGCCACATTCATGAGTTTACCTAAGCTCATGCAATTTTCTACTTAAAATGTGACTGACAGTAACACAATTCAGATGCATATACGAGCAAGCTCTCACTCGTAAATACAAGCGTGATTAACATAAGCAACAAAGTTGATTCTAATTTGATGAGGAATTTGTGGCACCAAGAGGAGCCTCTCCATAAATCATTTCCTAATTAAGGAAAGAATGATGGGATGTGAAGGGTGATAATTAAGGGTTAGAACCCAACAACACATCACATCAAAAGCATGGGGCCCCATCTTTTCCTTTGTCTTTGGAAAAGACAGCTTAATTAGTGAGGGGGGTGACGAGAGCAAAACCATCAACCACCACCGCCACAAACCCCACAATGCCACACCCACAGACCAAGAGTGCGTGTCCACCTTTAATTATTATTTTTGTTGCTTTTAATCAGTTGATGATACGTGGCAGACATGCAGTGGGTTTGATTGACCCCATTGTGGGCCCTCCATGTAGAATCTTTACAGCCTCGCGTCAGAAGAATCTCCTTGTGATTCCTCTTTGTGAAATATGAAAGTGTAAAAAAACAATTTGGAGTTCATTGAAAAGAAAATGGATATTTTTTCTTTCTTTCTGCAAGAGACCTAAAAAGAGCTCATATTTTATTATTAAAATAGTGGAGTATTGGGCAGGCCATATAGTTCCCTTAATGGTTGGGCAGCCCATATAGTTCCCTAATTTCACCACAAAAAAAAGTGGCAAAAGTTCCCTTTAGCAGAGTTAGTGTAACCCTTTAATTATATATATATATATATATTTAAAAAAAAATTAAATTTGTCATGTTTGCTTCTGCTTATTTTAATTCTCAGTTTTAGTTTACAAAAATATAAGAAAACAGTTAATTAATTTATAGTATAAAACTCAGAATATTACAAGTCAAATAATATGAAAATTAAAGAGGAAATGGCGGCCCTGTTAAAGCCTCCACCAGATAGATTAGTGAGTGAGTGAGTGGTGACGCCAACACCAGATGGACTGCAAAGCCGGGAAGGAATATCCTTCTCTCAATCAATTATCATATATGATGATATAAATTTGAGTGTTTCACTTTCTAGTTTTTTTGTTTTTTAGTACAAGCGAACTACAAGGGAGAGGGATTTCTCACACACACATAACTACGATAACTACGATGTCGTGGGGATTTCAATGCACTTTCTGCTTTCTTTGAACTATTAGAAAAAGTTGGGCAATTCACTTGAAAAAGAAGCAAAGGAATTTTCCAGGCATCACAAGAAAATGATGCAACCAAAGCAAAGGTCTGAATATATAAATCAATTGCTTCTGAATGCTCTTCAATTTTATGACATCACAACAAAGAAAACTTAAAGAAGCCAACAGAAAGAAAAGTTGATCATGACAGGATATATATATGTTTGCCAACAATAATCACTTTTCTTTTTTCAACCAAAAGAAAAAGAAAATCAGTGAGTAAATTGCCAGAGCCTCAAAAAGTAAGGTGGCAAAAATGAATGTCATCATCACTCCATGCTACAAAATTACAATATCAAACTCATCTGCACTTTACAAAATATTCGTGTTGTAATTGAATTCCCATTTTCTGCGTCATTCTAGTCCTACTACTCTAAATCCCACTTTTTTTTTTTTGGTTAAAAATGAAGCGACAGGGAAAAGTGATTTCCTGCTATAATCCACCCCAATTCATGAACTTCTTGACCTCGTCGTACAAAACCAAGATGGCAGCAGCACCCGTACTCCGAAACATGTTTGAAACTGCCCCGCGATAAAATGAAGTCACCCCTTCTGTTCTATATATCTTCCTCCAGCAGTCCAATGTGTTATTGTACATCCTCTGTTCCAAGCCAGACTGCATCATCATCCGCCTCCGAACTGTATCCAGTGGATATGACAACAACCCAGCAGAGGTTGTGACCGCCTGAGCCACCGCCCAACGCTTCCACAATGGCAACTCAAGTTCAGACTTTTCTGACAAAATCTCTTTTATTGTATCAAAGCCCCCAAAGTAAAGGCCACGGTGGATGACCATCCCCTGTAAAGAGGCTGGAAGCCCTCTGTATACCCCCCGAATCCCATCCTTTTGGCGAATGGTAGACAAGAAATGGTAGATGCCTCGAAATTGTCGGACTTCAGTTCTTCCAATGTCAGCAGCCAGGCGGGTATGTGAAATATCAAGTGGGTATATTATAATCAATGTTGTACAACCAGCAGCAGCTCCAGCAATGAAGTTAGCAGATGGACCAGACAAAAAATGACCATCGTGAGAGTGTCCACTTCTTAACACATTTCTATAAAGATCCTGTAAAAGAAATTAATTTGTAAGGATCCTGCACTACATGATATTATGATGACTATGAAATCTTCATCTGCCATTTAGAACTATTCCATCAACCACCATAGTAAATAACAACTAGAACAGAAGGCTTCAACATTAATACGCTAGAGTCAAAATGGTATTAGGAACTTTATCTACTGACTTAAGATTAATGACTACAAGTATCCTTAAATCATGTAAAATAATATTTGAATAAATATAAGTTCTAACAAGTAGGTACTGACTGACTAATCCAAACATCATCTTCCATATCTACTGATGCTACTTAGATACCGTCTGATCAGGGCATAATGCTTATCTATGTTACTCTCCTAATCAGTTCTGCCCTCCTGTCTTTACATATGACAAAAACATCACCAACGAGAGATAATATACGTTTGGGACACATGTCATGAGAAATCAAGATAGACGGGTTTGGTGTGGTTGAACTTCTAAAAGTCTCTATCTCCTGGAGTTGCATTTCAGTTACTACTTTTTCTTTTCAAAATTTATTTTTCAAGCTAAACAAGTGAAGGGCACCCTCCCACCCAATATCACAGCACTCGCAGTGACAGAACTTGAGAGTTCCCCCTTGAGGGGAACAAATTTCCTCCCTTTCTTCTTTACTGCATGTAACAGAGTCACACATTTTTAGTCTTTCTACCTCAGAGCACTCTGTACATTTTAAGGAACTCATTCAATTAGTTGTTTTCAGTGGTTCTTCAAATGAACACCCGCCATTATCATTTCATTCTCAACATTGACATGCCAATGCTGTTCCCAGACCTAATTAAACCAAGCCAACGGTTGACCTAAAGACCACTCACAACCTTAGAATAGGGGAGCCAGAATAGCATTGCAACCTTTCCCTCTTCCTTTATAAAAAAAGCCTATGAGCATTCGTGCTTAGTGACCAAACACCTCCTAAACACTCGGCTTACTCTCAACCAGATATTATCTCCTACAGCAATTATTGAAAATTATAGTGTAATCTCCAGACCAGACAAAAAGTCCCTCAGTAATGGTGGATTGGTTATTAGACACAAATTTGTTTGTAACGTCAATGAATGGATTTCTTCCCTTTCCTTTCTCCATTGTAAAATTCTGCCTGATAGTCAGCAGGCAAGTATGGAGGGGAAGCAGTGTGAGAACATGGATTCTGTTGAGGAGAAAAACAGATATTTGAACTTCATGTATCGGAGTCCCTATCCTATCATTCTCCCAACGAACACCCTCAATAAAATCAAGCTTGCCACAAACTACATATAAGCCAGTAAAAGTTCACATGGCATGAACAAGGCTGCATTACAGGCCATCACGAGATGTCAATATAAAGTTTCTTAGACTCCTTAGGATCATGCCAAACTATATATAAGCAAGCATATACACACACACACACACGTAGAAGCTGCGAAAACAAGATTACATTTTTTTAAACCTGTACTTTTGTTTTCTTTCTTCATTCCTAATATGTAAGACAATCTCATCAATCCCAGCTATCACAAACCCATTTGAAACAAACAGTTCCCGAAATTACACTTTTTGACCATATTATCCATGTCCGCAACCTAATGTGATAGCAAAAGAGGGCCTTGACGACAAATTAAGAACCAATCACACAAACACAATCAAATACAATCTTGGAAAACGAAGAAGGGGAAGAGAAGAAGAATACCTTGAGGGAAAAATTGAGAGCGACGGAAGGGTAGTAGCGAAGAACACTGCTGCCATTGCCTCTCCAAAGAGAGAGAATGCCTTCTTCTCGAACGGTACGGACGATACAATCGACCATGCCCTTGAATCTCGTACGTCCACCCCCAAGAATGACCAAGTTGCTCTCTTGGGTCTGCAACAAGAGCTTGGCTCTCTCGATTGGGGCCACAATCGTGTGCACAACCCCGCCCATCACCGCCCCGGCCAAGAGATCGCGTTGGAAGTTGTTCAGCCAATCGTACGGCCTTGATATCGACCCTCTGCTTTCTGGGTCGTCGTCATCTTTGCTCATTCTCTCTATCTCTGCGGAAAATGGAAGACGGGAATGGAAATGGTGGGAAATTGAGTGGGCCGATTTCTACCCATTAATACATAGTATTAATAATTTATTCAAACAAATTATAAAACCCAATTCCCAGTTCCCAAATCCCAAAATTCAAAAGCTTTGTTGATTAAATTCAACTCGTTTCTTTATAGTTTAGATGCCAAGAAAACGGAAGACGCGGTTCACCTCCCGCTATCTGACCTTTTGATGAGGAGGAGGGCTTGGATAAATCCCACCCCAGGTTGACAGATAACTATCAATTTGATCCTGCCACGTTTTTTTATTATTAGTTTTTATTTATTGCCATCTTCATGCTTTTAATTTTTATTTGTTGCCATCTTCATGCTTTTAATTTTTAGGTCACTGCTGAGTCAGACAGGTAATCCTAATCAATTTTCGGTCATACGTAAACAATAACTAATCAAAATTTTAGGCTTTTTGGTTTTTATTTTTATTTTTCTCGTGGAATGAAAGTTGTATAAGCGCGTAAATGATTGTGTCAGTTGATGCGTATTATAAAATTAACAATGCATCACTGGCCGGCTACTAGTCTTTCACGAGTTCATGCTAAACTATGGAAGAAGAGAGAGAACACAACGTATCAAATGTTTTTTCAGTTTAGTTTATTTTGTCACACTTGTTTCCTTGTGAGTAACAACAAGCTTTGCAAGAAAATGTAAGGAGACCAATTCATATAGTGCATTTTGCAAGAGCGCTGACAGGACACAACTTTTACAAATTTGGGCTAGAGAAAGCTCAATTTAACCCATAACTAGGTCCATTTCAATTTCTAGACTGGGCTGAGATTCAACCCAACCCAACCCAACCCAACCACACCCACATGATTTAAAGTTGAAATCCGAATGTTTCCTTTTGTCTTTCTGAAACAGTAAAACTCAAACAAACATGTTATATGTCTCAATTGAAACCAGCAGAACACAAGATATTATCCGGTGAATCTTGAACTAGGACGCTTTAATTGGGCTAACAAAAAGTGGACAGCGAAGTTGAAAATGACAAATGAAAGCAAACACGCGCATTTGTTCTAGTTTAGTCTGTAAATCCAAAACTGGTTAATTATACTAAAATTGTCAAATACTTGGATGTTAATTATGTCACCTCATGAAAATAGAAGAAATTCTTCTTCTCACTCTAGAGTTTTAACCGATGGTGGGGTGTGCTGGTGCAGCACTTGGGGTTGGGGACCGACCGGCCTATAATTTTCTTGGCTGCCTATTGATTTCAAATGCCAAGAAAATGTCAGAAAAGCTACAACTATTTTAATGAATTTGATTACTAAAATAACAATAAGTTAGAGGATAATATAAGAATGAGGCCTGCTTTCCCATAAGCATGTCTGCCGAAATTCAATCACTCATCCAATCATGCTTGTATATATAAATGTGAGGATGCACAGAAGAAAAAGAGGTTTTGGATTTTTTTTTTCCCCCTCTCTTTTACCCATGATGTTAAAAGGCCATAATCAACTTCTTATCATATCTCTCTCTTTCTCTCTTTTTTTCTGGTGTGCAGTGTGAAATCTTGCTCTCTTTTCACTTGGTTGCTTTATTTCTACTTTTTATGGCAAGGGAAAAAGATGTGATTAAAAAATAGGAAATTTTTTTAAAAGGTAAATAAAATTATTAAAGAAATAATAATTTCAGGGGGCAGGGAAGAGAACAAAGGAAAAGACAGAAAGTGCACGTCAGAACAAGCCTGTTGGTTGGGCTGTGGTGGTGGATGGGTGGAGAGCTCCAAGGGGAATCCTTCCTCATCCATATCTCTCTTTACTGACCACCAAGCAAAACCAAAGTGCCTCTTGAAACATAAAATTAAGAGACTGCTCTGGCTAAAGGTTGGTGCTAGCTAGCTACTCTACCTATATATAAATATAAATATATATATATATATATATATATATATATATATATATTTAAAACTTACTTCATGATTTGTTTATATTCTTCTGAATAATTTTATCTTCTTTTCTCTTATGAGTTTCTTTTTTGTGTTTTCCTGCTTGATTATTCTTGAAGGGTTTGAAGGTAGAGAGAAGACAAATCATCAAGAAGATAATTGGTTGAATTTGTGTGAAGCTGAAGAGAATATCTTTCTGAATTAGGGTTTGCACTCAGATCTAAACCCTGTAACAGATGTGAAAGCTGAGATCTGTATGTTGCCCAATCCACTTATGAAGAATCTCATATGTGCACATGCAATTGGTGTCAACAAATCCTAAACAAAGTCTTTGTAATTCAGTGTAAGTGGTGGAGGAGATGATGAAAGGTTTGATGGGGGATGAGAATATGTCCAATTTGACCTGTGCATCTGGTGATTTAAGTGCTTCCAATTCAAGTATCAGAAATGAGTCATCATCAGCTGGCACACTGTACCCTCAGCAGCAATCCTCATCAGCAAATGATATTCAGCAGCAGCAGCCACCACCGCCAAAGAAGAAGAGAAATCTTCCAGGCAACCCAGGTCTCTCATCAAATCAAAATTAATTAACCAGCATTAATTCACACATATCATGCATGATAATTAATATTAGTTTTGCTCCTTTTTTATTTTATTTTTCCTTTTTTATTGATTTTTGGTACAGACCCAGATGCTGAAGTGATAGCCTTGTCTCCCAAATCACTCATGGCAACTAATAGATTCTTATGTGAGATCTGCAACAAAGGGTTTCAGAGAGAACAGAACCTTCAGCTTCATAGAAGAGGGCACAATTTGCCATGGAAGCTAAAACAAAGGACAAACAAGGAGGTGAGGAAGAAGGTGTATCTGTGCCCAGAACCAACATGTGTCCACCATGACCCATCAAGGGCACTTGGGGACCTCACTGGGATCAAGAAGCACTTCTGTAGAAAGCATGGTGAGAAGAAGTGGAAGTGTGAAAAATGCTCAAAGCGCTATGCGGTTCAGTCAGATTGGAAAGCTCACTCCAAGATCTGTGGCACAAGGGAGTACAGATGTGACTGTGGAACCCTTTTCTCTAGGTAAGGTCATAGACAAAGATTATACAATAATGAGATTAGTTTGAAGAACCAAAACAACTTTGGAATAACTTTTTTTATAGCAAACAATTGTTCATAGGAGGAGAGATTAGCTGGTATTAGGTACCAATTATCGACGAAAACATTCAAGTTCAGTCATACCATCCATGTACAGTAAATTGGTACCCGGAACTAAACAATCTTTTTCAACCCTTAATAATGCAATAACCTTTATGAGAGAATTGAGTTAACTTTTGATGAGTTGTAAGAACCTTTAATGGGTTACACATCTGCTAATGTCTTTTGTCCTCAAAAAACAAAAAGAACGAAAATACAAAAAGGGACATGAGAGAGAGAGAGAGAGAGAGGACAGTGTATATTACTGTTTATGTTACTTTTTGATGGGTTTGCTCTTTTTGTATTCTTGTGGTTGTTTTTGATAATCGTGGGTAACTCTGCACACAGGAGGGACAGCTTCATCACCCACAGAGCCTTCTGTGATGCTTTAGCACAAGAGAACAGTACAAGCACTGCAGCTAGATCAGCAATGCCAGCTTCAATAAACCCTCTTCTCTCCTCTCTTCCCCAACTCCATACCCATGGCCTCCAAGGTCTCTCAGTGAAGCGAGAGCAAGACCAGCAGCAGCTACTTCCTCCATGGCTCTCTTGCTTGCCCGAAGGCGAAGCCACCGCTCCATCCGGCCTTCCTTCCATGAACATGTCCTCACCATTATTCTCCACTTCCTCATTCCAGCAATATTATTCTTTTGATCATCAAAACCCTAACCCTAGCAGCAGCTCCACCACCACACTCCCTGATTTCCAGCAATCCCATACAGCTTCTCCTCACATGTCTGCCACTGCTTTGCTTCAAAAGGCTTCAGAGATGGGTGCCACAATCAGCAAACCCTCCCATTCCCCAATGTTTCTCAAGCCACCCAGCCACCAAGCTCACGTGTCCAACGAAGCATTCGATGATGGGTTTGGGAACAATGATAATAAATCTTCTCTTTTGCATGATATGATGATGATGAGTAATAGCTTTGGAGATCAACAAGTTTCATCAGCGTTTGGAGATCATCACCAGGCTTTCAATGGGATTATGGTGGACGGTAATAATAATTTCGTTGAGATTAACAATAATAATAATAATAATATTAATCCTCCGAAGAATTACAAAAGCATGGAATTAGCCCAACTTGGGAGGAGCGGTACTGATAACAACAATAACGATGAGGGCTTAACAAGAGATTTCTTGGGTCTTCGAGCACCATTTTCTTCATCCGCGGCGGCGGCAGCAGCAGCATCCCATGGTCATGGGGATTTTTTCAATATTAATATGGCCGGGCTTGATCACCATGTCAATTCTTCTTCTTCTTCAGCTTACAATGGACAGCCGAGTGATCACCAGAACCAAACATCATGGCAAGGTTAGCTTATATATCTATGTATATTTGGATATCATGGGCTTCTTTGATCAGTTGATATTGATCATTTTTAGCATGTAGTCATTTTCCTTCCCTTGTAGAGAGAGAGCGAGCAATTACAACCTATCTGGTTAATATGCTATTTTGAATGGTGCTCGAAAGCTTGCACCATTCACTTTTTTTTTTTTTTTTTTTTTTTGGTTGCTTAATTTTTTTTGAACCTTTTTTTAATTTATATTTTTATATTCTCCGAAAAAAAAGAAAAAAAAGAGAAAGCAAAACTAAAATTGAAAAAGAGGGGAAGTCATACGGCTAGTTATATTTACTCTGTATAATTTTTATTATAATGGGCAAGGTAAATTGCTATCTATATCTATATTATATATATATATATGCATGGTAAAATATAATTATATGGATGTTTCTCCAGCAAGAGAATGTAAAACCAAATTTGTGAAGAACAGCTTGATCATAATTAATTAACCCAAAAACAAGAAAACTCAAGCAGTGATAAAAAGCCACGTAAGGTTTTTACTTTGCAATCAGCATCAGCATGATATATATATTATATGGATTATTCAGCCACCGACAATGAACTTCCAGCTATTTATTACTTAATTAAAATGAATTAGTTGTTGTCTTATCAAGTGTGACTGACGTGGTGCTCTACAGTTCATATTTTTAAAGTATCTAGTTTCATTATTGGAACCTAAAATATTCTTAGCAGTAACTTTTCTTTATTTTTTTTTTCAAACTTAATTACTTTCTAAACTCAGTAATAACAATTATGTATATATATATATATATATATATATGTATATCTGTTTTTGAGCAGAATGTGATGACAAAGCCTATGAGGGCGCTGAGAAAAGATTCGAGAACAGTACTGCGCTGCACTGATCAGTGATGTGTTCATATCATCATCATCATATATATATATATATATCAATGCTTTTATGGAATATGCTATCAGCTATCAGCTATCAGCTATCTGATGAATTTTGTGTACACACACAAAAAGCTGGTAGAGCCATTTGAATTCCGATCCCCCTCTACTTTTTTCAGTGCAGCTTTCGTTTTATTTCAAATTTCAATCCCAAGGAGGATAATGAGATAAATGTTGGGCTTTAATCCTGTTTCAAGACCGCTGTGAAAAGCCTTTTATTATTTATTTTTTTATATAAACATTGTTGTGAGTTTTGATATAATTAACCATGTCCAACGGGACTAGCCCAATAATAAACGGCTTTGATTTGCATACCAATAGTCTGAAGTTTGAACTCTCATGACACATCTTGATAGTGTGTGCGTGAGAAACCTCCTCCCCTTATAATTTAGACTATCTCACTTATATTTAAAATATAAAAAAAACTAACCATGCCTTAGGCGCTAGTTATACGAATTTGGGATGTGCCAAGTTTTCATTTAAATTGGGTTGTTGGTTCTATGAGAGAATGCAGTGTAAATAACAATAATAACTTTATGAGGAGTTTCGATCCAAAAATAGAATAAAATTAAATATACCTTCTAAAGATTGTAACCCATTCTAGACTTCCAGTTCTCACGCATCATGACAATCAAATGACTAAAAAATTATAGCATTAGAACACACAATTCTGGAATCCACAAGGAAAGATGAGGGAACGTTTATTGATAATATGAAATAACATAACCATAACCACAGGGTTAAAGTTCATTTAAATACCCTAGAAATCCTAGGAATCCAAAAGGAATTTAAATAGGAAAATTAATAAAGTTTCCAAAAATTGTTAAAACATAAAAACTAGATTTTAGGTTGTTAAAAGATCTCGGATGCCCGAAAAAGCCCTACATCATGGCAAAGCGATGAATTTCATTTGTGAAGTCATTCTCTTCGAAACAACATATCATGGGCCCAAATCTGAGCTCGATGCCCAAACTTGCAGTTTTCCGAATTTGCCCTTGCACACATCTCTCCAACTCATCTTCCATTGCTTCCGCAATTTGTTCTACATCAAGTTCCCAACTTGTTCAATGGATTGTTTGTCCTTTTTTG